TCGGAGTCAGAGAGTCAGAGAGCCAGAGAGTCAGAGAGCCAGAGAGTCAGAGAGTCAGAGAGTCAGAGAGTCAGAGAGCCAGAGAGTCAGAGAGTCAGAGAGTGAATGAGGGAAACCAGCAGATCTTTGTAGACATAGTGCACCAGGACCAGGTGCTGCAAGCCAAAGACTCCCAGTGGCCTCTAAAACTTTTTCAACCTATTGTACCACAAAACATTTAAAATGTTTATATTTAACAGGTTTAAAAATAGCATCATAACTTTCCTCTCTGAAATGTTGAAGCTGAGTCCAAAGATACACCACAACACACTGAAGCGAGCCAACAGAGTGAGTCAGTGGTTCTGAAGCACGGCCAGTAAAACCTGAAGGATGCTGACTCGGAGCCAACAGGCTGGTGAAATGTGTGAAACACAGTGCAGAGCAGACACAGCACTGAAACCCTGCCAAGAGGAGGCACACTGTACAGGAGTACTGAAACCCTGTGCATGGACTGAGAGATGAACTGACACCCGGCCAAAAAGTCCTCTGAGTTCACTACGGTGCAGAGAGAGAGAGAGAGAGAGAGAGAGAGAGAGAGAGAGAGAGAGAGGGAGAGAGAGAGGGAGAGAGAGAGAGAGAGAGAGAGAGAGAGGGAGAGAGAGAGAGAGAGAGGGAGAGAGAGAGAGAGCGAGGGAGAGAGAGAGCGAGGGAGAGAGAGAGGGAGAGAGGGAGAGAGAGAGAGAGGGAGAGAGCGAGGGAGAGAGAGAGGGAGAGAGAGAGAGAGGGAGAGAGCGAGGGAGAGAGAGAGAGAGCGAGGGAGAGAGAGAGAGAGAGAGGGAGAGAGAGAGAGAGCGAGCGAGCGAGGGAGAGAGAGAGGGAGAGAGAGGGAGAGAGAGAGGGAGAGAGTGAGAGAGAGAGACAGAGACAGAGACAGAGAGAGAGAGACAGAGAGAGCGAGAGAGAGAGAGAGAGAGAGAGAGAGAGAGAGAGAGAGAGAGAGAGAGAGAGAGAGAGAGAGAGAGAGACAGAGAGAGAGAGACAGAGAGAGCAAGAGAGAGAGAGAGAGAGAGAGAGAGAGACAGAGAGAGACAGAGAGAGACAGAGACAGAGAGAGAGGGAGAGGGAGAGAGAGAGAGAGAGAGAGAGAGAGAGAGGGAGAGAGAGAAGGAGGGAGGGACGTCTGGAGTCAGGCTCACAGAGCAATGTGGAGCTTCATGACGTTTTGCTGATTCATGCTCCGGGAGTAAAAATGCAGCGAGAGAGGAACTGAGAGTGTCAGAAACATCAGACGACACAAACACCTGATGAGAAACACTCACAACCTAACACATGAACATAATCCTGCAAATATTAAAAAATCAATCTTTGAATGTCCACAATCTGACAGGACAGGAAAATCCACTGAGACCTGAACAGTCAATGTGCATCATGTCAGCAATAACACAAAGAAAAAGGGTGCCAATGGGCGAGTGGTTACGACTCTCTTTCACTTGTTTTAACTCACAGACTGTAAATATTAATGTTTGAAGCCTGAGTGGCGTCTGTCTGTTCCTGCAGGGGGCGCTGGAGTCCCATTGATGGCGTCACCCGTCTGTTCCTGCAGGGGGCGCTGGAGTCCCATCGATGGCGGTCTCCATGCTGGAAATGCTGTCTCAGTCTAACTTTCAGTCAGCCTAACGACAGGCTAAGAGCTGGAGCTGAGGCGGGTTTTAAACCTCCTGACAAACCGTTACACCGCGCCCACCTGTCAATCAGGTCAGCTACACGCCTTATTGTGAATAACTCTTATCCTTCATCAAATCAAAACTGATGAGTCATCAAAACATTCACCCCCCGTACAGTGTGTGTCCATCGAGACATGAGCTAATCACACCTATTTGGTTTTTTGAACCAGGCTGTAAACATGTTCATCTCTGCTGTAAAAACAGGCTTTTTAGAATGGGTGTGTATGTGACTTCCTGTGCTTCTGCTGCCAGCCTCTAGTGGACACTCCAGGAACTGCAGGATTTTTACACTTCAGCATCGGCTTCATTTTTCAACACCGGAGGTTGCTGCTTGGTTTTAACTCTCACTTTATTTCTTTAAACGTTTGTTATTTGTAAAGTCTGGAGGCACAATTAGAGAAACACGCCTTTTATAAGACTTCAACATGGGTTTGGTTTTGTGGCTGTCACATCCTTAACATCAAACATGAATGCGTCCTTCTCTTTCAGGCCGATAGTTTGATTGTACTTTTGAACGTTCCCGTCTGTTTCATGTTAAACGTGTGAACGTCTTCATGTTAAACGTTTTCCTCTTTGATCGCTCATGGATCAGATCACAGAGAGAGGACTCTGATTGATCGGTTATGGATCTCTGATTGATCTGTTATAAATCTCCGATTGATCTGTTATAAATCTCTGATTGATCGGTTATGGATCTCTGATTGATCTGTTGTAAATCTCTGATTGATCTCTCCTCAGTCGTCAGGTTTGAGCTAACATCAGAACATCACAGGAAACGGCAGCAGAGAGAAACTGACTCCAGATCTGACCTTGTGTCTGTACTGACACAGCAAATATTTAATGTAGTTTTAAATAAAATTCAAACAAAGAACAGCAGATGAGATGTAAAGAATGACCTCAGACATTGTGCAGGTTTTACCAAACTCAGAAACAACAGAGTTCTTCCTCCTCCAGTGTGAACATCAGAAAAATTCCTCGTACTTAAACAACTCAGAGAACTTCTCGTCGATCTTCATTTTGATGAGGATGTCTCTCGTGTTGTTCTCTGCAGGTTTGCAGGACTGAAGCTGCTGTTTGTATTAAAATCATTCAAACGTGAGAAACAGCTCATCGAATCTTTTCATTCACTTCTTTGATGTGTTCAGTTTGTGCCTCATAAATTAGGACATGGACAATGATTCTCTCTGCAGGTAGACAATGCAAGGCAATAAATAAGTAAAAAGATCTGATGAAAATGCAGAGAAAAGAGAATAAACATGGAGAGAGAGCAGGGAGGATCAGGAGGTAAAAACAGTCAAGTGAGGGAGGTGATGATGGAGGGAAAGGAGAGGAGGAGGAAGCACTGAGAGGGTCTGGTCTCTGGTGTACAGCTCCACCTGGTGGCAGAGCCCAATAACTGCATATCTATTTGTCACACTCCTCACAATATGTGATCACTTTAAAAGCCGACTTGAAAAAGACCGTGAGAGGCTCTAATGTTGATTCTTTGTACAGATAGATAAAACAAGACAAAACTTCCAGCGTGACTTTCAGGATTTTGTTGAGGTAAATCTCCTCTTTTGTTCATTCAGCTTCAAAGTGAAACAGTTTTCTGTTTGCAGTGTGGGAACCACATCCCGTCTGTTGGGAACAGAAAACAGAGTGAAGATTGAGAGTCCAGAACTTTTTCACATGAACAAAAGTCACACAAGTCTGAGGGAGGCAGATTAAATAACTCCTCATAAAGAAGGACATGATGATAACTCTGTCTACACTTAGACAATGCAGGGCAGCAGACTCGATCATACTGAGCACAGTGACGAGTCAGAGCCTTCAGATCAGTTATGAACCTCAACGCACCGTGAAAAACAGTTTGCAAAGATTTAAGACACCGAGAAGACGCATGCATGACCTTGACTATTTCTCTACTAAAACTTCGTAATCTGTTCAAAACTGGACAATATTTATACATCAAAAGTGCAATCTATACATGAACCGTGCAATATCTACACTGTTAATCCATCAGTGTATATTCATGTTTGTAAATATTGTTTATATTCTCAATGACCTGCACTTGAACATAGCTTATTACTTATACTACTTTATTATTGCTTTCACTTGGTACTCATGCTTATTATATTGTTATTACTATTTTTATTTTATTTGATATTGTGAACTTATCTGTACTTCCTACTGATTGTTGATGTTATGAGCAACTGTAGCAAACACATTTTCCCCTGGGATTAATAAAGTATTTCTGATTCTGATTCTGAATCATCACAATCCAAAAAGAAATACAAATACATGTTGTTTCCTGTGCTGCCTGGATGTTTGAGAGGAGGCTTCACAGCTCAACATCTGAACACTTTAAAACATGTCAGTTTTGCACAATCAGATTTTTAAATAAATGAAAGACTTTATTATTTAATATGTTATTCCAACAAAATGCTCATATTTATTTACAGCTAATATACAAACAAGAATAATGGGTTGTTTGCCACCTAAGATAAATAAATAAATAATAATCCCAGTGTGTTTACAATCCTAATTCCAGTGTTACAGAATTCATAGGAAGACCCCCAAACACAGCTTCTCCTCTTCCATATACCTGATAAAGATAAAACATGTTTTTGTAAAGTTTTTAAACTGGTTTATATTTGTGCTTCACCTTACCCATCACACCTCTCTATGATCCATCAGCTGTCTTTGATATTCACTGATGGTCTTTGAAGGATGATGTTGGATATCCCATTTATCTTTCTATCATTTCTTTTATTTGATGCTAACTGGCAGAGGAAGAACTTTACATCTTGTTGACGTGTTTTGTAGTTTTTATTTGTTATTATTATGAACCTAAATACAAAGATTCCTGCTAAATAAACTCTGATTGTGATACCAAAGCAGAGTAAAAACAGCTTCAATATGGATGATGTTAAAGAGGTTAGTTTGATTAAAACATTAGAACAAAGTAAAAAGAAGAAGACCTAGTTAGAAGAATCTCTGGGAGTCAACAAATGCTTCACAGATCATACAGCTCGTCTCATCCTCATGATGACGTTTGAAGAAAGTGAACAGTTCAATAACACTCCCATTAAAGAATGAACAGTTTCCATGTTCAGCCATCATCACATCAAACGATCAAAGAGTTCAGAGGTCAAATCAAAGTCCGGGTCCCTTCTGAACTTAACGCGCTCATTAGCATCTGAACGATCAGTCAGGTGTTTGATGGACCCTTCAAGACTCCTGGGTGACTTTAAAACGGAACCCTGGAGCCTCCTCAGACCTCACAGGCCTCTAACCTCTCCACTGACTCTCAGCATGGACGGAAGAACAGTGACGGACTTCAGCATCGAGCGCATCCTCTCCCCGCAGCTCGGACTCAAGCCGCCAGGGAAGGACTGCTCACCGGACGGTTACCTCCAGAGGAACCCCGGGGGGTTCAGTCTGGACTACACCGAGAACTGCAGGCCTCCTGTGCCGGTGCCGGGCTGTTTGCAGTACCGAGGGGTGAGCTTTGGGGACGCGTTTTACCCGTATGGAGCCGGTTTTCATCACGCAGACTACACCAGCTTGTATCCAAACTCCGGAGTTTACCTGCACTTCAGCCGTCAGGACCCTGCAGGTATGTACAGTTTTAAACTAACACATGTTAGTGTAGACTTTTAGCAACTTAATCTGAACGAAATAAATTAAACACATCTGTGAAAACAAATCGAATATTAACGAAAGCATTATTCTACGTTTCTCTGGATGTTGTGTCTCATCACAATTTTTGTTTTTGCCTCAGACACTCAACAGCTAGCGGGTTACCATGGTTACCAGCAGGCCGCTGTATCCGCTCAGACACAGCAGCAGCAGCCGCGTCAGAAGTCCCGGATGAGGACGGTGTTCACGGACGGTCAGACGAAGCAGCTCGAGGCTCTCTTCGGGCTCACGGACTATCCGTCGGTGGAGGCGCGCGCCGAGGTGGCTGGACGCACCGGGCTGAGCGAGGAGACAGTCAGGGTGAGTGTGCCATTATGACTCAGCATGAAGTTCATTTCAGTTTTGAGAAGGCTTAGGGGATCATGGCTTGTGCGTAAAAGCTCTCCAAATTGCGTAAAAGGTGCTTTATTTACGTTTACGCACTGATTTAAGAATGTTTGTGCTAAAACAAGCTCAATAAACTCTGTCAAGGAAGTTTATTAGTGGGACTAATAATGTAAAGTGACTCTTTTAGATGTGTTCAGCCAAAAATAGAGCAATGAGCTGCATCCAGCGGTGGTAAAAATGACGTCATCCATCACACAAATAATCAAACAAAATGAAGCTGATGTTTCCTGTTGGTTGTTGCAAAGCCAATCTTAGCTTTAAGCCACTTAAACATTAATTTGTTCTAATGGCCAGCAGGGGGCGACTCTATTGGTTACAAAATTATTAAGATTTTTAAATACATGATGCCTTTTTTTGCTGGATTTATTTCCTCAAAGTTTCCTTTAAGTCCGTGGTCTCAGGCCGTTCAGGTCTTAAATGGAGCATGCAGATGTTTTGCACTCTTCACCTCTGAACCTCTTTGTCTCATGTTGGATTTTATATACAAGTTTAATATTTAATTTGAAATGTTTGTAACTGATGAGCAGATTCCTCTCCCACAGATCTGATTCTTCATGGTTTTCCATTCTGTAAATACTTGTTCAGAGAACGTGCAGTTAAACCTCTCATCTCTCTTTGTGTGTTTTCAGGTTTGGTTTAAGAACCGCCGAGCCCGCAGGAAGAGGCAGTGCAACGGGTCCAAGGTCAAATCCCTCTCCCCTCCATCCAGCACCGGAGCAGAGACCAAACTCTTCAGCTCCTTCCTCTGAGCCCGACTGAGCGACTGTCCACCTGCTGCTCACCTGAGCAGCTGCTCTCGCCTTCAGAGGTCAAACATCGGCCTCCTGCTCTCAGGCACTTCAGCAGAGTGGATACAAACATCTGCTCGCTGCAGCTGCTGGTGCATTCAGGAACTGCTTGGAAAGTCAAGCTACAAACTCTGGGGACTTTAAATTCTGATTTAGGAGCGTTGCTTGCTGCGTTTCAGTCACAACTGAATTACTTCTGGTTTTCTAGTTTTAAATTATTTTGTATTTTTATGTAATTTATTGAAATCTTTGAATAAAAGGAAAATGGAAACACTGACACCATTTGTACGCTCGGGTGATTTCTTTAAGAAATAATTAACATGCTATGAAATGTGTCCTGTGATGTTTGGTTTTAAATGAACTGGTGAATGATGAAACATCGTCTCTACCTCACACTGGTGATTGTGTTCTTTGAAGTAAACCTGAAAGAAGAAGAAGGTTGAACATATTTAAACTAATCAGTTAAATCTCCTCCCTCTCTTTGGAGATTGAAAAATACAATACTTACAGACTACAACTTCCTGCAGAAGTTGTAGTCTGTAAGTTGCCCTCAAGGTGTCAGTGTTACACACATTCTAGGTTTTATCTTAAAGCTTGCACACAGAGTGTTTTCAGATTCTGATGATGAGACGCAGCCTACTGTTGATGAAATCCACAGAATATGTATCAAAAAGCATGATTCTTAAAGTGTTGCAGTAGTGAACAAAGGAGCTGGGGATCGAACCCCCAAAAGAATTTAAAAATTCTCAAATATGGTCAAAGATTTGGCCATTGGTGCTCAGGTGGAGCATTTATATGAAAGAAAGTTCTCATTATAGCATCGTATAGAGGAGTCTGCTGCTTTGTCCGCTACTTCCTGGTCGTTTGTTCAACTTTTCTATTCCTGAGTTGCCTCTGTCCCAACTTGTGTGTAACGTGTCGCTGGCGTCAAATTCAAATAGGGCATTGCATTTTCCAAAAACAGTTTTTTAAATAATATTTTACACAACGTCCAAACGTTTTAGGACGAGGGGTTGTGAGTTAATGAAACAAACCTCTGAATTTTTTTGTTTGTTCTGAGAGTAAAAACAACGGACAGACGGGTTAGAAAAACAACATCAAATTCTTTATTATAGTCATAGAGTCATAGAGTCGTCACTGTTATTATTAGAAGCATTTCCATGCTGATGAGAAGAAGTTACACTTATTGAAAAAAACAAAAGAAATTCTGAGAGAAAGTTACAGAGAGAGAGAGAGAAAGAGAGAGAGCATGCAGTGAGTTACTGTCAGGGTGAGGACGGTGCTCCTTCTCCCCTGTTTCCCCTTTAACGTCTGTCAGCTTCACACACTTTTCAAACAGGAGTTACTCACACACATGGACTGTGACCGAGCACAGAAAATAACACACACACTTACAAAAACCAGAAAACAAAAAGTACACTTAGTGAAGTTATCAAAATATAGGCTATGTACTGTCCATTCTTAAGACGTATTGAAAACAACCAGTGCTGAGTTAGTTTCTATGAGAAGGAGATCGACATTTTATTCTTGGACATGAACGATGATCGATTATTGAGAATTTAAAGGACAAAACTGGTGATTCTGAATGTTTTAACGTTTCATGAGAAAGACGCTGCTGACTAAATTGCAGTAAATACGTTAAAATAGCCAATCAGTGGTGGTCTTGATTTAAAATCTAGAGTCCGCCCAGTCTAAGACCGAGACAAGACAGAGCAAAAATGCTTTTGATTTCGAGACTGTAAAATAGTGGTCACGAGACTCTGCCGGACCAATTTCCCAAGCAAGAGTAATTCTTTGAAGTCAACCCACAATCTATTTTTTTCAATAAACCAAAAGGTTGTTGAGTCCAAACTCAACCAAAGTGCAACCCTTTAAGATTGCTTGTCTGGGTTGGTGGTCCTGAAATCAATAGTGTTGAAATTTTGTCAGAGATTCAAAAAGTTTGAGTGTTACTTTGTCCTGAGAAATAAAACAAACCAAAGTCTGCTACACATAATAAACCCATAAAAACAACCGATGAAACTTCAGTTGAAAAGCTAAAACATGCAGCACCAGTGTTGTCCTTAAAATGAAGCAAACAGAATAAAAGCTCATGTGACACGTTGTCTGTGGTAAGAAGATTAACCAGTGACTCACTACTGACACTTAGTGGCCGAACCAGAGCAAGCTCCACATTTACACTGCAGAAAGAACAGCATGTTCAAACCAACAGGGACATATTGACTGTACTGTACGTTTACTGTACAAAGACAAACCTCACCGTCACTGTGCTCCACTGACATCTATGTTCCTTTATAGCATGAAGGAGGCGGAGGATCCCGACTCTGCAGGGGAGGGGGTTGAGTTTCAGCCGGTGTGTGAAATTATAAACAGAGGTTAACTACATCATCTAGAGGAACGGTGTGGTTCAGGTTTGGAAAGGGGGACGGCTAGAGAAAGAATCTACAAGTATGACTTTGAGAAGGTAAAGCTTTGAGTCGTCTGCATATCACTTTAACAGGATTTCAAGAAATCGGTTTACAGAACGTTTCAAAGACAGTTTCGATCATCTAGCGGTTTATATAAGAGGCTGAGGGGGAGTCCAAGTCAGGATTCAGAAAGATAAGTGTGGTTTTCTTGCTTTGTTATCAGTCGTCATAAAGCGTTTTAAGTTTTCTCAAATAATCAGAACATTAAGAAGAATGCTTCTTCCTGTCAACAAGCACAGGAGGAAACCATGGTGGGATCCTCCAACAATAAAATTGGGGGTATTGCAAACTTCTGTCTAGGAAAGGTTATTTTCTCAAGAAAAATATACCTGCAGAAATGTCCAGTTATTCCTTCCAGTCAATTTAAGGAAAGCTTGGAAGCATCAACTGGCCATCGCTTCTCTACAAATCTCTTTTTTGTTGTTCTCATAGAGTTTTTGGGTTCAAAACCCATGCTAGTTACACATATCAGGACCCCACATACAACTCATGAGAAAGGTTGGGAGTTTAGAGAAGTGCTAGTCGCTGGGACATTCAGCGCAGCTTAGAGAGAATGGAAAGCGTTGGTCAGATAACGGCCTGGTTGAGCAAAACTGAACACCCGATGTTAGTAAGCGCTGAAGTTATCATTAGTAAGAAGTTGAAGCTGAATCCACGGCCACAGTAAGAACATTTATCAACAGCAGAGTGCAGGAGCAACCACAAAGTGTTTCCTTTGGCCGAGGCTGCAGAGCATGAAGACCGACTGAGAGAAGAATCTCAGAAAATTGTTCAGTTTGTTGGTTTTACCCAAAACGACCAGACAGTTGTTTTTCTGACTGACTGGTTTCAGAGCAGGTGGATTAAAAAAAGTCAGGTTTTTCAATTTATATGCAATGTGAAGCTATGCGCTAACTAAAGAGCGCTAACATTAGCATGCTAACACAACAATGCAAGACACAGGCAGTTGCAGCTCGAGCTGAGGGCAATTTTGTTTGGCGCTTGCGCTAAACTCCTCAGTGGGATCGCGAGTGGAGAGGGGTTGGAGGTGTGCCTCTGGAGGAGAGCGAAGGCTTCAGGATGGAGGAGGCGTGGCCTAACAGCAGTTTGTTTTAGTTTCATGCTGGTGCTCAAGGGCGACATCTACTGGATCAAAAAGTCTCACATTCTTCCTTTAAGTTCTATTTATCAGAGCTTAGCAAATCAAAAGTCCTTTGATTTTCGACTTCACAGATTGATTTATTTTGCTGATTCGGTCGTTCTGTTGAGTTTTGTGTATCTGGTCCCCGGCAGCCTCGGCCGTCGGAGTGTGAGCGTGTTCATCTCTGTGTATCGGTGTGCTTACAGAGTGTAAAGAGACATTAACACAGGAACCATTTCCACACAGAGATAGGTACACTGTTTACATATTGCTGCTTGCAGTTATACTTCAAGAGAGAGAATTGTTTTTAACATTAAGCACACACGTAAGTTTAGATCAACTTGTTTTTGTTAGTCTTTTTTGCAGGTGCTCACATTCACAAAAATGTATTTTCAAATGGAGAAAGAGGGGACGAGAGAGGAGGAGAGAGAAAGAGAGGGAAACTTTTACAAATCATGACCTCTCTGTCGAGCTCAGCAAGAGTTTAACTTCCCGTATGAAGAGTTCGATGAAGGGAGGACGAATATGTACAAGTGATTATCATCAACACAGAAAGATTCACGTGAAACTCAACAGGGCTGAAAACACTTTGATTTAAACATTTTCGATTTTTTAAGTTGCATCAAACAAAGTCGTGGTTTTGGGTCTGTTAGCACTTTTGGTTAACGACAGGTTACAGCTCTTCATTAGATTTATATCATACATTTGACCTCTAACTAGATGGACTAATGTTTCTATTTGGCAAAACACTGATTGATAATGAAAATTATTCCTAAGGCGTTCAGTTGCTATAATGCCTGACTACAGTACGTCCTCTATTTTTAGTGTTATGACGGAAATATCCAGTCCAACTCAAAGACAAACCTGATCTTACAGCTGTACACCTTCGTCTAACTTTTGTTGATTTTAAGATGTTGGCAGTAAAGGAAACGGCCCAGCAGCGTCCTCGTGTCTCCCACAAGACCAGAAGAACGACTTAGTGATCTCACATCCCAACAGTTCAATGACGCCAACATGAAGGTCATAAAACATACGACTGACTGGAACACTATGATACAAACATGACGTTGGTTGACCCTGTTTTCAGTTGGAGATTAAAGCATGCAGGTGATTTAAATTCTAAGACCCACAGTCTACAGTTAGAAAGTCTTTGAGGATGAGATCTGATCCAAAGCCCTGACTTTAAGTTACATGTGTAACCCTGGTTCTCTGAGAGGAGAAAATGTCTCCCAAAGGCTCCGTCCACACTCCTAAGTTTTCATAGCCAAACAGCAGCTGTGTCCAAATTCAACCTTTCGAAGGACCCAGCCCTCGTTGCCTGCGTAGACCTGCTCAGGTCGCTCTGAAATGAGGCGGTCTGGTCTACAGAGGATTTTGTGTTCGCGTCACCAGCCATTCGCACCCTTCCTCTAGTGTGCAGCCGCACACCGGCGGGTTGGAGCTCGTCCTTGTTCTCTTTCTAACATCTCTCTGCAGACTCTCCTGCCTGTTTTTCTCATTTCACCTGTGGGTGTGGGGATTGGCTCTGGGATGCCGGAACTCGCTGTAACTCACTAGGTGTGCCTTTGGACGAATGGTGTGGAGAAAAGATCATCCCGTTATTTTGTCTTGTATCAGATAACAACAAAAAGAGGAAACCAGCTTTAAAAGGGCGCTCGTTCAAAACAGACACATCACTAACACAGAGGCAGAATTGTTGTCATGATTACTGGGAAGTTGCATGTGGCATCCCTTATAAAATACTGCGGCGCAGTTACCACCAATTCGCAGCAGACTGTCATATTTACACTTTAACTGTGCGCAACTGTTAGTGTCGTTGTTCACGGATTGGAGGCTTTTTGCAATGACGCTCATTTACATAGAAAGAGGCACCAGAGCAAAGAGACACTTTTTGTTCGGTGGCGCAGTTAGAGGCACAGTTAACCCTTTGCATGTGTTTTGTAAATAGACGGTATCATTTTGACTCAATTGCACAGATTTAGCGGGCACAAGAGCCGGAAACTCCTTATAGGAAGTGGGTGAATTTCTTAATTCAAACAGGGTCAACAATGTTTCCAAAAACATTCCTTCAGGGTCCCTTCCTTCAGGGACTTATAAAACACCAGAATAGCTCGGACCTGAACCTCAAGTGTAACAGAAAGTTCTGGTTTAGGATGAAAACTTAGAAGTTTGGACTTATCCTGAAACACATAAGAATTAAGGGTAAATAAGAGGCCACATGCTTGTGTAAAAGTGGTTTCTGCATAAACAGGATCAGGACTTCAGCATGCAGAGAGAGTCTGAACACAAAAGAGAACCGTCGACCTCAGACGGTGGACGTTTAAGTTCTTGGTGTCAGAGTCTAATCTTTGCTTGGATTTAAATCTGCATCCTTGCCATATTTGACTCAAGCTAAGACAGTATTTTGCAGGTTTAAGACATGTTCTAAAGTTGGCTTTCATTTGTCGAGACTCAAATCAAGTAGCAGCTAAAACAAAGTAAACACTAATGTTTTTGATTTTTTTGTTATTTGTAAAGAAACTTTTTCTGCCCTGAATAAAGACACAATGTGGACGGACACTAGGCTTTGACGACGAGATCAGAAGTTGTTGATAAAAAGTGACAAGATGTTCATAGAGTATTTTGGGGGGAATTGCTTCTGCAGAGCTGGACTCTCAGTTTCTTTAAAGGAATGCAGGACGTTTGATCAGATACAAGGCACTATAGATTTTGCTATAGAACGGCTAAATTAGAGGGCTGAGAGTAAGAGAGGAGAGGGCCGGGGGTTTCACTACGAGAAGTTCGACCGACGACAGCGAGAGTCTGAAGAGAATAAGAGAGAGAGGAGAGAGCAAAAAGTAAAAAGATGAAGAGAAAGAGGAGCAAGGGAGATCGATCCGGTGGTGGAGTCTGAGGAGGAAGAAGGAGGGCGTGGTTAGGACTGCATCTCAGCACGCAGCATCCACGGAAACCAACAGCAGAACAGCAACCTGGAGAGGAGAAGGAAGAGAGGAGGAGACGAGGAGGCGAGGAGGTGAGGAGGGTGAACGTGAGTGGAGAAAGGGTGAAGACAAAGAAGAAAAGCAGGAAGAAGAGGAGAAAAGAAACATTGTTTTAGAGTCTCTACTTTGATGTTTTTGCTCACTAGTTGGACATAGAAGTGACAGACATTTTAAACAAATATCTCGTTCACAAAACCTCGGTGAACACTGTAACTGAACCTAATAGTTGCAGACATAGGGACACAGGGGATCGACCTTTAAAAGTATCCTCAAAGGGTCACTCTTGTACTCTAATCATGGGTCATATTTTACATATTCTGGGGTCTAAATAACTCTTAAGTAGCTTGCTTCAACCAGCAGTAGTCTATCCGTCCTTTAAAGGCTGCTATGTCATTTAAATGTTATATACTCCAGTATATGGGTATATACTCTGAGGGGGGATTCTGGTTCACACTCTTATTGAGAGACATGCTACTCACACATGGACAAACAGGACCCGTGGACATGGATTGATGGAGTGATGTAAAAGATGCTCTCGGGCCTGGGACCTGGCAACTCTGCAGCTACAAGACCAACTTCTAGAACTGGTGACCCCGGTTCCCAACCCAAGTCCTTACAGACGGAGCTACTGCTGCCCCCCCGATACTCCCTTGGGCTCAAAGTACATCTCACTAAATGTAATCCATTATTGTATTAAAATGGACGTGAATATCTACGTTTCAGCCATCCCCGCCTCTATCGACGATTCCAACTAAAGGAATCTACTCAAGTTTCTCCAAAAATGACTCAGCTATAAAAGAGCGTTCCCTTTTAAGGCCAAGGCTAAAGACTCCAGAAATCCACTTTTAGTCCAGTACCATGAATGATTCATAACTTTCAACTCTGAAGTGGTCACCTCTAGAGTGCTCAGGTAACAAACATGGGACTGTTTTCCATCTATTTTATATCTCTCAAACGTAAGCTAGGTTTACCGCACCAAACTGTACCGAACCAGACCAGAAGGCTTGGTGGAAACGGGGTCAGCAGTCTGACTGTACTCTGTGTGTTCTCACCTGGATATGGAGCTCTCAGAGGTTAGGTCTTTAGGAGAACGCATCGTGTTGAAGTTACGCTTCGGCTGTGCCACTGCAACACAAACAAACAAACAAACATTAGAAACAAATGTTGTTTTAAAAAAACAGCTGTGAGAGTCAGTCTCATCCTAAAATCCAGACTGATGCATGAGAACACAGAAAGAGACTCACTGGTGACTTGGTGGACTTTCTTCATCATGGATTTGTCGTTCTGCGAGCCTTCTTTAGGGCCTCCGATTCTGACAAAACAACAACGATAACAAGAGTTCATCGACGTCAGGATATCTGATGTTGTTTACTCTGGTTTATAAATGATCACAAGCCAGCACCAAGCTTCTACTGGTTTCAATATCACACTGGGACACGCTCTCACCTCTGCACACGGGAGGGCGGAGCAAACACTCCGTATTTGGGCAGGCAGCTGAAGTAGCGAACTCCAAACACCGAGCCGTCGTGTTTTCCTGTCGGCTGATCCAACTCGATGCCGAACCAGTAACCTGCAGGGACACGAGAGGTCGACACGGATCAGCATGAATGAATGGTAGAAGATTTGACTTTAGATGAAAAATTAAAAATACCAGAGCAGATGGAAGAATATTAGAAAGTCTGCAGCTTTAGATCGATACTGTACTTTTATTTTAAAAAGGTGTATCCTGTGATGCATTTCAAACTAATCTTTATCTTCTCAAGCATTACTAAAAACAAAGTGTGCAGCTTTTAGAGTTCAGCTTTTTTAAAAAGCAGACGGACCTGGAGCAAAGTTTGTCTTCCCGTAGAAGCGGACGATACCGTTTTTCTGTCCGGCCACCAGAACCTGATCCCCGACTTCTACGTTCAGTCCCTCCGGATCCAGACTGGCGACTGATGTCTTCTTCCTCTGGGCTGAAAACAGACAATGTACACACACAATCATTTCACTATCCTAATTCAATACTTAAAGGCTTTATATGTGATTTTTTAATCCAGCAGATGTCGCCCTTGAGCACCAGCATGAAACCAAAACAACTCGCGCTGCATTGTTGTGTTAGCATGCTAATGCTAGTGATCTTTATTATGCTGGTATCTTCACACTGCATGTAAATTGACCTGAAATGAGCGTGATCTAGAAACACAGTTAAGCAGTGAGTACAGTATGTTATTCTTCTTTTCTCTAGTCCTTCAATTAAACAACTTTTATACACGAGGGGAGGAGTCAGCCGGCCGTCCCGGCGATGTAAACAAAGTGAAGATAGGACTCTGAAAACTCTGAAAACATCACAGACAGTGGGACTCGGGTGTTACACCCATTGTAGACAGTCATGACTCACAGAGTTATTTTCAGAGGATATACTTGATTTATATATTTAAGAGTGAAAAATCACATATAAAGACTTTTGATGGGAGCAGTAATTGGGAGCTAGAGGAGGAAGATGAACAGCTGAGTGACATGTGCTGATTTGGGGAGGTTGAAGACGAGTCACACTGCTGCATTTTGGATCATCTGCAGGGGTTTGATATTACAGGTAGGAAGACCTGCCAGGAGGGAGCTGGCAATGGTTAATGCATGATATCACAAGAGCCTGAACCAGGAGCTGTGCAGGATGCAATCGAGGCCATTTGAGCCTTAAATGTTAGCTGGTCATTAATCATGACATCCAGGCTCCTGCAGACTTAGGGTTAGGGTGGACATGAGTTTGGTTGTACCAGGTTGGGTGTTGATCTGTGGTTGAACAGAGGGACTGGATGGAATAACAAGAAGCTCAGTCTTTGATATTGGCGCTCAATTGTCCAGTTCGAGGAAATCCACAAGGCATTGCGAAATTCTTGCCGAGACTGTGACGTCACTCAGCTGACACATGTACATGACGTTTTAACCCCCTATATTGATATTGTTATTGCACATTTACCACATACCACACCGCATGATAACCTGCTGCTGTAACACCACAATTTCCCAGTTTGGGATCAATAAAGTAATTCTATTCTATTCTATTGACTGAATCCAGCGTGAACTTTAGAGCCGTGTTACCTTTCTCTCTCTCCTTCTCCTTCTTCTCTTTCTCCTTCTTGGTCCGTCTGGCGAGGCGGGAGGCCAGGTCCAAGCGGGGGGTTCGTGGTGTGGAGGTGACGGAGGAAGGTGCCTGATCCATTGCTTTGGAAATCTTTGACACGGGAGCGAAAATCCCTAAAGAGCAGCAGAGGAGGAAAAACTCACTGAGCCGAAAGCAGGGAATGTCTACCTGAAAACATCAGTTACACAACATGGGCTGATGTTTTAGTTTCTGTTTCTGTCTCCACTAAGTCCTCCTTCTTTTCCCTGGGTTTTATTTTCATTCTTACTCCCTTCATCCGCTCGCCATCTCGGCGAATGTAACAAGTCTTTACCGTTAATAATTCATGTACCTAAATGGACTGAAGGGGCTTCTGTGTGTTTAAACAGTGGAGTCCCTCTTATCTCTGAATCCAGCAGCTCGATCAGATTCAAGCGCGATCAAAAGGTTCCTGAGTGTTATCATACTCCATCTTGGTTTTGCTGTAGATTTAATAAAATATTAAATGCATCTTTATTTACTTAATGATTTTTTTGTCTTTTTCTAGATACAAATTGAGACTCAGAAATGTGTTGATGTCAGAAAGATTTGTAGTGAATAGGGAATTGTCCTGATTTTGTTATATTGTCTACATACTGTAAGTCCTGTTTTGCTCTATTTTTATGTTTTCAATGTTTGTATGTCTTTTTCAATTGGGTAAATTTTATTTGCAATAGTATATATTCTTACTTTGTTATTTTTACTGTATTTTATTTGAACTTTGTTTAATCTCTTAAGGTGAGGTTTTGAGATAAGCCCTCACCTGGACATGTGTTTTATTTTTATTTTTTCTGTTTGACTCTTCTTTCAAAAAATGTGCAAATAAACTAAACTAAAACTAAAAAAGCATCAAATCGTTTGGCTTCTGTAGGGAAACACAGTCAAGATGTCTTTGTTTTTGTTCACTCACATTATGTTCCTAGCTTTACATCTTATTATTATTACATATTCATTCCTTCAAACTGCACTGCCCCACTAACAAATACTCTATCCTTTACAGGGATTCAGGTCCCTGCTTGAAGGCATCATTGCGGCGGCTGTTACCGAGCTTAGGAGGGCAGATGAAGTAGCGGACGCCGCCCACGCTGCCGTCGTTTTTCCCCTCCGGCTCGTCGAGCTCCACGCCGACCCACTGACCGCTGGCGAACTCTGTAGTCCCACAGAACCTCAGCGTGCCAGTCTGAGAGAGGAAAGAACTCTGTTAGACATCTGTAAAACACGACTGCAGAAGAACTTTTGAGCGGGTTACTTTTATTCTGGCAGAGAGTCAGTGAGTCTGCTGCTGGGGGGGGTATGAAGGGAAGAGGGAGAGGGGGGGGCTGCAGATGGAGGGAAGGTAAACAGGTTTTGTTTGGAGGAGAGTGTGCTGTTAGAGCAGTGACTCAGCTCAGTTAGTCTATCATCCAGCCGGCGCCCCGCTCCAACCGACCTGTTTGAGGTTTTCAGGCTGGCTGTCGTCTCTGCTCGGGTCTCTCTGGAGCTACAGAGAGCGACACAGTGAGAACACACTGTTCAGAACATCGCGGCGGCCATGACAGCCACACAGCCTACAGCACACAAAACTTTTCATCCGCCCTGCAAGAACGCACCACCGAGAAGGTGTAGAGCTGCAGAAACTGTCTTTTACTCTTGTGCATGTTTAAACATCTAAAAGTGTGCAGAAGAGCCAGACTCTTACTGCACTGCCAAAACTCAGATCTCAGCAGGTTTTTTATTACATCACACAAATTAAAATTAAAATTAAAATTAAAATTAAAATTAAAATTAAAATTAAAATTAAAATTAAAATTAAAATAAATTAAAATGGACGCCCTGTTTCTCTGGGCCAAAGAGGAGCAGGATCGTCCTCTGTCGCCCAACAGATCGAAGCTTCAGAATTTCACATTTCAACCCGTCAGGTTTCAGGACGGTTTTCTTCTTCGCCTCCGTCCGTTTTAAAGCCCGGACTCGGGGAAGGCGGCGCCGTTTCTGGATCTGGTTTGTGATTACGCAGCTGGATAACACTGTCGTCATTGAGCCTTATGTTGTTTATAGTTCACACATCGTCCTAACTTTATAGGAACGGGAGGGTAAAACATTGTGTTGTCCGTACACTCTTACAAGCACCCTTTAAGCTCAGAGTGAAAACCATTATCTTCTATCTTCTAAATATTCCTCGAAAGTGCTCCTCTGACCTTCATGTCGTCGAGCAGTACGCGCTCGCCCAGCTTCATCCCCAGGGAGGACAGCATCAGGTTTCCGGGGATGTTGTCGTAGTTTGGCAGCGTGGCTCTGGGGAGGTTACAGCTCAGAGGGACGGCGTCCAGCAGCAGCTGCTTCAGCTCTTTGGCCACCATGGCCGCCTCCGCCTTGTCCAGACTCATGTCCATCGGGTCGGGGACCACGTCGCCCGGGACCTGGCTCTTATCATTCTGCAGAGAGTGAAAACTTTTAGTGAGCTTGATTACAAACGAGTGCGAGTATTTGAAGGGGAACTTCAGACGTTACTTTACATATTCTTGGGCATAAATCACAAACAGGAAATGAAAGGTGTTTTTTTTTTTACCCGGACGCTGGGGTTTGCTCCGTGCTCCAGCAGACATTTGACGGCCCCTAGACAGAGGTTGGAGGCGGCGATGTGGAGAGCCGTGCCGTAATGAAAATCACTGCAGGTGGAGTTCAACACTGTGAACACAAAAAAGGAGAGCAGGATGAGTAAGCACTTGTTTCCTTCGTGTGTGTCTGTGTATGATTGAGTCTGTCAAAGTGTGCGTACCTCTGGGTTTAGCCGCTTTCAGCAGGATTCGGATCAGTTCTGGGACGTCGAAGTACGCGGCGTAGTGCAGAGCGTTCATGTTGGTCCAGCGGCTCCTCAGACTGACGTCAGCGCCCAGAGAGATCAGCTGACTGGTGAGACGCAGGGCGGCGGACGGGTCGCCTGCAGACGTGAAGACGATGAAAGTGAGAGACGCTGAAGGCTTGAATGTTTGTTTCACCAAACAAACACAAACACATATTCTGTCAGTCACCAAACTATGAAATCAACGAGTTCTACACTTCTACAATTCACTCAGCAGACGCTTTTATCCAAAGCGACGTACATCAGAGAGTAAGAACAACACAAGCAAGGATCTAGAAACAAGGGAACAATGTGAGTAAGAGCAAACGATCAGCTTTGAGTCTGATTGGACACACAGGTGCTGACAGGAAGTGACCAGAGGCAAAGCACAACATTGAGGGCAGTTCTTGAGAGCTCTAATCAGTATAGAAACCATCTTATAAGTCGTCATTATCAAACAAAAACCATCGTCATTACCATCATCATCATCAATAATATGGAGACCATCATCATTAAGTTAGTAGGTATTCATGAAAGAGCTGGGTCTTTAGCTTTTTCTTAAAGGTGCAGAGGGACTCTGCAGAGTTAACAAACATCTTACCGACTCCATGAGCGCCGGCCTTACAGCTGTAGTGCAGCAGCGTCATGTCGGTCAGGCCGTCGCGGTCATTCACATGGCAGCCTCGCTTCAGGATCTGAAATAACAAGACAGACACAAAGAGCAGGACGTCAAAACACAATATTTACCGTCTCATCAAAGTGTTCATCCTCAGATCATCTGAGGGATTCTTTTGTTAAATGTCTTCTCCATGTAAGAAAACAGGTCACTAATGTTTTTTACCAAAGTGTAACAATGCAGGAAGCCCAAACTAAACGTGGGCAAAGTTTCAGATCATGAGGTAAACCTGTTGGAGTAATCCCAGGATGAGTCTGCAGAGGGCGCTAAACAGCTTGTTCTGCAAATTACAAGACAGTCGCCAATACGCAACCAAGTATTTGACCAGGCGGCTTCAAGCCTCGACGTAAGCCGCTGAAACCTCTTACATAGACTCTCTTCTGGTCAATCAGAAGAAAGTGGGCACGTGGGGAAGGGGGGCCTGAAAGAGATGGTAGCTGAAATTAACCGTTTCAGGCAAGAGTCGAAATGAGTGTCAGATAAAAAAGGAGTTTTTTGAGTTCAGATGGCCTAGCGGTTAGGGTGGCATCATGTACAAAGGTAAAGTCCTCTAAGCGGACGACCTGGGTTCAAGTGGCTCCTTTCCATCATGTCACTCTCCACTAACTCTCTCTCACTCACTCTCCCAGTTTTTCTACTCTATACACTGTCCTGTAAGGTATAAAGCCCCCCAAAAAGTATGTGGAGATCAAACCCTGCAGATATCTGGAGCTCAATCCACACTCAGATGTTTAGGAGTGATGTGTTAACAGCAGGATTATGAGCTCCTCATGCAGATGTGCCCCGCAGCGTTCTGCCCCTGAAAGGCTTCCTGAGTCTCTTTGTGGTTACATGTTTAAGAAACTACAAAATATTATTCTAATCCAATCAAAAACAACTGAAATGAGGGAGTGGACTTATGAACTTTGGACTTGTGAATTTGTCATTTTGGTTGTTTCACTTCAGCTCTCTGTGATATCTCGTAAACGATGTGTGATGTTATTTACATAAGTAATGGCAAGAAAAATGTAAAAGTAAAAGTTATGATATTTCGAAAAAACAGGTTTGCAGTTGGTGCAGAACACCTGGTAAGAAATGTGACACTTGAATCCATCTTTCGGCTTCTTTCTGAGTCACTGTCAGCTCCTTGTTTTTTATTCCTGCAGGCTGAGTCAGCTTCCTGCTGAGTCATGGTCGAGCCTCATTGACTCTACATCTCTCTCTCTCTCTCTCTCTTTCTCTGCACCACACTATCTCTCTCTTTTCAAATCGATGCAGCCATTTTAACTGGGTCAATGTCACTGTGTCTGTGTGTACTCGTATTACTGACATTGTGAGGACTCACCTCTGAAAAATGTAAAGTATGAGAAGTCGAGGGCCCGTGTCAGCTGATTTTTATTGTTGCGCTCTAAACTGAAAAAAATCAACTTTAAGAAAACCACACCAGCACCTTGTGCCAGCACCTAAATAATCTCTTCTATTTAATGTTTTGTATTAGTTAAGTTTTGGTAGGCTTCAGGTTAGTAGTCTTAGTTTAACTGAGATGATGCATCCACAGGTGAAATGTTAGACTGCAGGAACTTTACGTCAGGGACCAGGACCTTTTGCAGGAAATCAATGTGTTGCCACAGCAGAGACCAGGGACTAAATCAAGACCCTGTTCTGGGGGTTGTACTGTCCTTTAGATACTGTGGAGATGGAGTTTGTAGCGCAAATTATTTTAGCTTTGTTAAATATTACGCACGTTTATGAATAACTCTTGGGATAAATTATTTTAAAAAGCAACCCCTGTACAGTGTGTACGATTATAAAAGATGAGCTATTGATGCCAAATTCATTTCTTGTTCCAGGCTGTAAACACATTTATTCCTGCTGTAAAAAAAGAGCAGTCATAAATGGTACCTAATGCAGAGTCTTTGGCTTTAGCAGCCAGCCCCAGGTGGACACAAAAGGAACTGCAGTTTTTTGCACATCTTGCAATAGATTCATTTTTTAACAAAGGAGCTAACTGCATGGATAAACCTTTTTAGGGCCAGCCTGTTTAGCAGCTTTATTAAAGCAGCTTTCCCTCCTGTTTGTTTTTATTTTTTAATAATAATAAATGTGGATAATGATGCATGTCTCACAAAGAACAAAATGTGTAAGGCTTCTCTCTTACAGCTTTAATACCAGCTCCACGCAGCTCAGGGGTCTTTCATTGTTCATTATCTGTGTCCGTGTACTGTGTGTGTGTGTGTGTGTGTGTGTGTGTGTGTGTGTGTGTGTGTGTGTGTGTGTGTGTGTGTGTGTGTGTGTATCATGAGGGTTGAATCTGGGTCATTGTGACAATGACAACTGAGTGTGGTTTCGGGCTCCATGCCAGAACAACTAGAGCAGGGCCGTTTTCAGGCAGTTTAACACAACTGGTCGACTGTTTGAGACACAAGATGACAAAGAGAGAGAGTGAGACCTGCAGTCCTAGCTTGATTGTAAACTAGCTGTTAGCTTTTTTTAGTTAGCATTAACATTAGCTGTAGTCACCAAGCTAACTGGCAACAAACCACAGAGACAAATCTGAAATTAAATATGCTGGTGACCATCTGAAATACATTTAAAGAGAAATACCCTCACTTATAGGCCCTTGTTTTACATATTTTGGGGTCTAAATAACAGCGATGAGGACTTCAGTTCCAGACTTGGACTCGTGTCACACTTTAGTTGCAAACAAATGTGACAAAGACTTCAACCTGTCGCTGTCCTCAGAGAGTTGAGATCTAAGTTGGACTTGCCCCCCCAAAGACTTGGGACTTGACTTGGACTTTCAGCAGGTATAAAAGGTTTGGGAATTACTCCGGTAGATTGCTTGAATTGGCTACCACAAAACAAGCATCAAAGGTCGCAGCGTTATCCTTTAAAAAATAAGCTTGTGACACAAAAATTGTGTTCACTTAAAATGTCTGACAACATTACATCGTGGATCCCTACAGAGGAAACCAAATGTTTAAGGCCAAAATGTTGTTTTGTCAAACAACTGTGACATCTCACCGTTCAAAGCCACCAAAGTTCATGGACCAAAGAGTAATTCTACGTCTCAGAACACAGGAGTTGCTGATATGCCACTGTTTGACTCTTTGAGTGTGTTTGAGTTTTTTGTGACTTCAGACTCTTTAATGGCTTTTTTGACCCAATGCAACCCAATTCATCATCAATAATATGGAGACCATCACTGCACTGTCTAGCTTTCAAACCTTTCTTTAATGGGAAATGGTTTGGGAACTAGATCTTCATCAGGCAAACAGTTTGTCAAAACAGACAGGACTTCTTCATGTTTGTTGACACGCTTGCACTGTTAGATCCCCTGCCACAGGAAACGTTTTGATGTGTTGCTGCGTTCTCACCTCATTGCCGATGATGTCGATCTTGTGCTGCACCTGGGGAACCCACTGACGCACGATAGCGAACAGCTCCGGGATGGTGGTCTGAGGATCCATGAGGATCTCCAAACAGGCCGGGTCATTTGGGTCGAAGAAGGTGAAGGCTGGAGACAGACGGAGATAAGAAATGTTAGAGTTAACACCCGAGCAGGACTGGAAAGCGGGAAGATTGACACACAGGGAAAGAGTTGAGGAAAAGTTTTGTAGAGCAGAAAACAGCAGATCAGGCAAGACATTGAGGCCAAAAACTTTCAGCCACCCTCGTTAAATCAGAAGTAACCTGTGAGCTTTGCACTTTCTCTTCCTGCCAGCTCGGCAGTCTGAGCTCTGAGAGCGGATTTCATTTCACTGAGTGATTCGAACCACCTCGACAACAAACGTCACTTTACTTCACTATCAGCAGCTCAGGAGTCCGTTAAGTTATTCAGACAGCCCCAGTTTTTTAGTCCACAGTCAGACTCGAAGTGATTAATGATAAGCATGAGGTGAAACAACAATCTCAGAACTCATCGGACATTATCTGATGACGATACAGCCTCTGGGAACGCTGGCCAACTTTCTAAGGCTTCCAGTGAAAGAAGCAATTAGCTATAATGGGCTTCTGAAAAATGTCCATGCATTTAATTTGTTAACAGTACGACTAGCAACTTGAGAAGCAAGACTGGAGTTAGAGTTATGCAGGACCGTCTCAGCAAAGAAATCACCAACGACCTCCTCACCTCTGCAGATTCTAGTCACATCAGTATACTTATTCTCCTCGACCTTTTCAAATCCTTAGACACAATCTCCCACGCCATCCTCCTCAACACCCATATGACCATCTAGGCATCACCGGATTTGCACTCTCTTGGTTTTAATGCTACCTCTCAAACAGCAAACAGTCCGTCAGTCACCATCAGAAAATCCCACTCCCACCCATCTCCGGCCAAACATGGTGTGCCTCAAGGCTCCGTACTTGTTCTCCTCCCTCTTTATCATTTACATGCTCCACCTCGTTTAAAACGTTTCTGAACAAAAACACTCAGGCTACAAACACGAACCAGAATTCTTTGAATGACACAAATGACCTTCTCACTGATGCCAAATCAGTATACTTATTCTCCTTGACCTCTTGTCAGCCTTTGACACAAGCTCCCACGCCTTCATCCTCAACCGCCTAACTCACCACCTCGGCACCACAGCAATAGCGCTCTCTCTCTTGGTTTCAATGCTACCTCTCAAACAGAAAACAGACTGTCACCATCGGCAACTCCCGTTCCCCAATCATGCCACCATACTTGGACCCCCCCACTTCATCGTTTACATGCTCCCTCTCGGTTAAAACATTAATGGACCAAAGCACTCAGACTACAAGCATGAACCAGAACACTTCCAATAACAATAATTGTTTAAAGGCTTTATATGCGATGTTTTAATCCAGCAGATGTCGCCCTTGAGCACCAGCATGAAACCAAAACAACTCGCGCTGCATTGTTGTGTTAGCATGCTAATGCTAGTGATCTTTATTATGCTGGTATCTTCACACTGCATGTAAATTTACCTGAAATGAGCGTGATCTAGAAACACAGTTAAGCAGTGAGTACAGTATGTTATTCTTCTTTTCTCTAGTCCCTCAATTAAACAACTTTTATACACGAGGGGAGGAGTCAGCCGGCCGTCCTGGCGATGTAAACAAAGTGAAGATAGGACTCTGAAAACTCTGAAAACATCACAGACAGTGGGACTCGGGTGTTACACCCATTGTAGACAGTCATGACTCACAGAGTTATTTTCAGAGGAGATACTTGATTTCTATTACATTTAAGTTTTAAAGATTGCATATAAAGCCTTTACATTGAACTTTGTATCTCTGGGATAAAAAAGTAGAAGGGAAGAGAAATAAGCAAAAAGATCATGTGTTCAACACATTACCTCCCCTGATTCTCATACAAAAATCTGTCAAAATAGCGACACTTTGCTGCCTAAAAGCAAGAAATTCAATCAGAATCCTCGTAGCAAGACTCTCACAAATGTTAATGTAAGAAATCGTCATAAATATGTTTGTAGAAACAAAGTGAGGACTGAAAATTGTCAGTCAGGCGGAGGAGAACTGCTCTGTATTCACTGCTGCACGGAGAGGGTCAAACACACACACACACACACACACACACACACACACACACACAGAGAGTGTATAATGGAGTTGGTCGACCCTGAGTTTGTCTCATGAATACTGATCACCCTGTCAGACATTCAGCAGTCATTTCAGAGCTTTTCAAACCTATTGATCGTTCAAAATGATACAAACTTTATGCACCGACAATCCTCTGCTGTTTATGACTCCGACTTTCTCTGCATGCATACTCTGTCTGTGTGTGTGTGTGTTTTGTATATCTGTGTGTGTCCTCTTAGAGATTCTGCAGATGTTTCTTCACTTCACTGTTTTGTGTTGTGTGTTTTAATGGGAATCAGAGGCTGAACTATATATAGGATATAGTTACCTATTTTGATATTGAGTTTTTAACTAAAACTCTGTACAGTCTGTATATGTTACATAAATAATGTATTTACGGTGGTATGATGTGTGTGTGTGTGTGGTATTAAAGGTGGTGTTACAGTGTGTATTTAAGGTGGTATGATGTGTGTGTGTGTGTGTGTGTGTGTGTGTGTGTGTGTGGTATTAAAGGTGGTGTTACAGTGTGTATTTAAGGTGGTATGATGTGTGTGTGTGTGTGTGTGTGTGTGTGTGTGTGTGTGTGTGTGTGGTATTAAAGGTGGTGTTACAGTGTGTATTTAAGGTGGTATGATGTGTGTGTGTGTGTGTGGTATTAAAGGTGGTGTTACAGTGTGTATTTAAGGTGGTATGACGTGTGTGTGTGGTATTAAAGGTGGTGTTACAGTGTGTATTTAAGGTGGTATGATGTGTGTGTGTATGATGTGTGTGTGTGGTATTAAAGGTGGTGTTACAGTGTGTATTTAAGGTGGTATGATGTGTGTGTGTGTGTGTGGTATTAAAGGTGGTGTTACAGTGTGTATTTAAGGTGGTATGACGTGTGTGTGTGGTATTAAAGGTGGTGTTACAGTGTGTATTTAAGGTGGTATGACGTGTGTGTGTGGTATTAAAGGTGGTGTTACAGTGTGTATTTAAGGTGGTATGACGTGTGTGTGTGGTATTAAAGGTGGTGTTACAGTGTGTATTTAAGGTGGTATGACGTGTGTGTGTGGTATTAAAGGTGGTGTTACAGTGTGTATTTAAGGTGGTATGATGTGTGTGTGTGGTATTAAAGGTGGTGTTACAGTGTGTATTTAAGGTGGTATGACTCACTGTAGTCTTGGGGCAGAGGGGCCTGGGCAGAGGGGTGCACCATGGCTCTGCGACGCGGCTCGTGAACCGGACTCTGGTACTGAGACACGGACAGCGGTTCCTGCTCCTGCTCGGCCTCCTGCTCCCTGCCGGTCAGATGCTCCTCGTCTTCCTCCCTCTCCTCTCTCTCCTCCTGCTCCTCCTCCTGCTCGTCCTCGTCTTCGTCGTCCACCTCCGCCCTCTCCTCGCCCTCGCCCTCCCTCTCCTCCTCTAGCCCGTATTCCTCATCTTCCTCCTCCTCTTTCTCCTCCTCCTCTTCCTCCTCCTCCGTCAGCACCTCCTCCTCCTCCTTCTGGACCCTGCCCTCCTCCTGTTCCTCTCGGTCGTGCCTCTCCTTCTCCTGCACCTCCAGGTTCTCCTCTTTAGTCATGATGAGGGATTCTGCAGCTGTGCCTGTCACAGAGGAGGAAGTAAAATTAATGTCAAATAAAAATCACATCTATTGATAAGAATATTTTCCATCTATGACATCAAACACTTGTGCAGCTTGAACAAATACCCGTCAAGTTTGAACAAGTGGTAACCTCTGGTTTTGAAATATGAAGCCAGACAGGAAGTGTAAAAAACTGCAGTTCCTCAAGTGTCCACTTGAGGCTGACTCCAAAAACCAATTAAGTAACTTTCAACTACGCAAGGCAAGTTTATTTATGTCGCACATTTCAACAACAAGGTAATTCAAAGTGCTTCACACAAGACATCAGAAGCATCGTGACAGAGGAAAGAAAAGAAACATTAAAATAGAACATTTAAAAATCACTGAAATTATTAAATCTGAAAATATGTTCAAATAAAAATAATTAAAATTAAATTAATTTAATAAAAAATAAATTAAATTAAAGAAATTAAAAGGGTAAAAAAAAAAATACAGTGCAGAGTAAAAGTTTAAAATCTTATTAAAGCTGTTTAATTAAAGGCAGCTTTACCAAAAGGAGAAGGTTGGCTTTCTTTTTTTAAAGATTTATCCTTTTGGGCTTTCATGCCTTTTATTCTGAAAGGACAGTGGATAGAGTTGGAAGCCATGAGAAAAGAAGCAGCAGGTCGGATTGGAAACCGGGCCGCCTACTTGGAGCGTGCTAGCAGCGCCACTCTGCTGTGATCTGTTTCAAATGAGCATCAAGTCTGTTTTTCACAGAGATCGAGCCGGACAGGAAGTCAGTCAAGGGAATGTGCAGAGCATCTGGTCAATTTCAAAATAAAACACCTTATACTTCAGACTCCCAATCGTATGTTCCCGCGTGATCTTGTAGTTCTCATGAGATCTTGTGAACTTGTGTGTACAGCTGCTTATGGCTGCGCTCTGCGACGCCCCAGAAACTGAGACAGTGGGGCAAGGGGCTCCTCCCATTGGACAACGCAAAACAGTGGCGCCACTATGTGGAAATTAACTTTTAACTTTTGCTCAAACAGTAATCAGACCTGCGCATCAAACGCCTCATCAGGAGGTTTTTCAAGCTGTCCAATCGAGGAGCAGCTCGGACTCCTCCTGTCTGAACCAGGACCGGTCCCTGTGATCCACTAAATCATTTAGTCCTAGGAACCATCTTCAGATTAAGACCGGCCCACTCTGCTCTGCCTTCAGTTCATCCACTCTTCTTCTCTGATCTGCAGCATCAGACGAGCACTATGTTTAGCTCCTGCATGAGTGTGTGTGTGTGTGTGTGTGTGTGTGTGTGTGTGTGTGTGTGTGTGAGAGAGAGAAAGCAGGGATAATGTAAGCCAATTGAGCCACTGATTACAGAGGTAGCTAAAGACGCTAATGCTAACACTCAGTGTCCATCATCGGCCGGAGGATGGATTCGGCTCTCCACTTTAGAAAATGGACGAGGTGCTGAAATCCATCCAGGAGCCACTCCCTCCATCAGCACAACATCCGTCTCATCCACCTCCATCATCTAACGTATGAGGAAGGAAGGACGGAGGAAAGGAAGGAAGGAAGGAAGGAAGGAAGGAGGGAAGCTAGAAAATGTGCAGAGTCCTTGAAATTGGTTCACATCTTTCTGGGATAATGATTCACTTTATGATCTTATAACTGATCATGAATTTGAAAAACAGCAGACTGTGTCCTGGTCCAGTTCGTCTGCATCACCTGGAGTCTTTCAACACCACAAAGAACCCCCCCCCCCCCACAGGCGCCTTTATTGATATTTTGCACATTTTGATGTCATTTTTATTTTACTTTTAAGAATCATTTCATCCCAAGAATCTGAAAAACCTGAGCTTATAAGATATGTAAACTATAATAATGGATGAAATATTTAAGAATATAAAATCTGACATGCGTTTCCCCTCATATTTGTTTTTATAAAAGCCCCAAAGAAGATCCAAAACAAGTCTGAATGCAGAAAAATGAGCAGGAAGTTTACTCATCCTCATATTATTATGCTCGTCTAAACACAACACCCTCAAGTTTACAAGGAAAATGTTTTCCTTGTTTTTGGACCTCGATACTTTCAGGATTTTGACCTCCTGCTCAGCGTTGAAGCGTAAACTTCTCTTTCTTTTGCAACATGAGCTGAAACGATTCTCCTGCACTGTGAACGACATCAGAAGCTTTACACACACACACACACACACACACACACACACACACACACACACACACACACACACACACACACACACACACACACACACACACACACTGATCATTTAGTAGGTCAAAGCAGGGATATGAGATGTCTCTATAGTGTGAGCATCCACACAGACTGAAGCTCTGTTGTCTTTTCAATCAGAGTCAGATACCGTCTGCAGCGGCTGCTACATGCTAAGCTAACCGTTGCCATCAGTTGCATCAGACGTGCAGACAGAGGGGCGATCTGATTGGCTGAAAACAGTAGATCAGGATCAAATATAACTTTAAATGTACAGAGATTCAGTTTATCTTTATACTCAAATTAAAAACTCCTCCATGACTCCACGTGTGTCGGTGACATGTTGGTGTAATCTCAGGTCTCAGCTGGTCGCTTCACAGACTGAACTGAAGAGTCATCGGTGTCCAAACGGGGGCTGAAACATTCCTGACTCTACTGAGGGCACGACAAAGGTTACGCAACACGACCACACGAGTCACCGCGGATATGAAACGTGTAGAATGCACACGGGGAAGAAGTGTGAGCGAGGAAAAGGAGACCCAGTGTTCTGAATGATTCCTGAGGCCTCGTGTCCACCTGAGCGCAGCGTCTTCTTTCAGTTGTTTTCAATTGCCCAGCGTCTTTTCTTCTTAGTGCTCCGCCTTCTTTGTGCGCCCGCTCCGAGCGCTCAGGTTAAAAATCTTTTGAACTTTTCAGAAAGGCGCTCCTTTCCAAATGTCTGATATTCCCCGTGTCGAAGCTCGTCTCCTCGTCCTCCTCGCTCCGTGTCTGATCGGGAAATAAACGACCTCAAATATAAAACATGCAGTGAAAAGTGACAGAGCCGTGTCGGTCATACAGCGGTAACCGTTGTCAACAGACTGTTGTCATGGAAACAGGACGGACGCGCAGCGCTTTTCTTCTCAGAGCATCAACGCTTCATGCTAACACTCCCCGAGCGTACAGGTGCGCACGGGGCCTGAGGGTGATATCGTTCCTTTAGAGCCTCGAGTCGGGTGTGTGACCCGACCCGAGGCTCGTCCCAACCGACTATTTGTCCAAATAATCCTCAGATGTCAAATCCAAGTTGACGGCGTTCCAGTAACGAGTTGGCAACAAGTCGGAGAAGCTACATGGCAGCTAACGCTAAAGCAACATGACCACAGGTAGCATTTCATGATCCTATCGTTGAGATTGATTTATAACGTGCAGCTTAAACTTTACTGTTGATGCACGTAGCGGCCATGTTGGATTTTAGCTCGGGCTACTGAAGTTCCTCTGCGTGTCCGAGTCGTAATCCCGACATCAGAGGGCGTTACCGACGACGCGTCACACTGGCAACTTTCTGTCTGCAAAGTTTAGCTGTACAGCATCGTGTTCGTTGGTAACTTAGTCTTAATTAAATCAGTCACATCGATAGTGTCGTGCAAGTTTTACCTGTTGACATAACGTAATGTTATTTTCTTGCACAAACTAGCTAACAAAACGAGGCGGCCATGTTGCTTCCCCGACTTGAAACTGGAACGTTCTCAGCTGGGGTGTGACGTCATTCCAAGATCTGACATCCGAACTAAACGGTACGCAGCAGCTGATCCCGACAGAGCAGAGTGGGGTGTGAACCTGAACTGCAAAGAACCAAAATAAAACCTTTAAACTCAACAGTCTGGGAACGTTTAAAAGCCGACCCGTACTTCAGAGATAATGATCTCATTAAGCCGCTTGTTTGTGTTGTTCTGTGACGTTTTTGGATTCGTCACATTTTTTTGTATCAGATAAAAATATATATTTAGCTGATTCTCTCCTGCCTTGATGAAGGCTTTATGTTGTGGACATGCATGATACACAAAACCCCAAAAAGGACATTTGTATGCATGTACACAAAATGATTTTTAATATTCTCTAAAATATTTCATTAGGTTCTGAGTATCGAGCTGTGGAATAACAGGATTATTATTCTAATAAAATAAAATAAATGAAATTAAAGGGTTGTAGTTATTGAGACAGGAGGAGATTCTCCCTCCCCACACACAAACACACGGAGGTCCTGTGGGATCACTGGTCCAACTGGAAACCACCAGAATAACAAAGCGCAGCAGACCGACTACACACCCTTACATTGACACGAAACGACGATTTCACGGTTTAATATCAGAATATTTGGGGTGATTTTAAAGGTGTGTGAACGCCATGTGATGTGGACCAGCAGGTTGTGAGATGAAGAGGAGGAGGAGGAGGAAGGAAGGCCATAGCAGCATCCTCCTCCTCCTGTTTCTGCTCCATCCAGCCTCCATTTTACAACAAACCAACCCGAGGACACAAACACAGCCAACACACGCACCAATAAATCAGAGACAGACCCCGGTCGGCTTCAGACCCAACATGACAGCGATGCTTTATTTTTAAAATACAGATTAAATCATAATAGAGGAAATAAAAGGCGACAGATCAGGTTTGGTGGTTTGTGCCAATGTGCGTAGTAACGGGCAGGATGAGGGGGGAAAAACGCCCCACGGACAGACAATGAAAACACGCATCAGAATGAAAGGTGTGCGTCAGCTTCATCCACGTCAACAAAAACAACACGATATTCTTTTTAAAACATCATGCTGTCTGTACGTGTTACAGAGGTTAAACAGGGTTATTAAAGGGGTTTGAACAGCGCCCCTCCTTCAGCATCTCCATCTTCTCTGATAAAAAAACAGCACGAAAAACCACAAAGCACTAAAACACTAAAACCTGCAGGTGAAGCTGTTTTTTACCTGGAATCAAGCCGCTGGTTGTGTCGTGATGAAGAGGTCCTCTCTGCTCTCTGATCGCAGCACAAACAACACTGATGCTCTCTCTCTCTCTCTCCTCTCTCTCTCTCTCTCTCTCTCTCTCTCTGTCTCTCATCCTCGCTCTACCACTCTCTCTCTCTCTCTCTCTCTCTAATTTAATTCAGTCCATGTCTGCTTGCGTCACGTATTGATTAAAAACTGGGATAAAGCAAACAAATAGACAAACGACAGCAGGTCCCACATATAAACAGATGTGCTTCAAAAAGTAGAGCTACAAAAACAATCAGGCTATTTTAAGAGAAATCTTCTGTCACTGCTAAGAGATGCATCTTGATGAAAAGTCTCCAAAATATCTAAATTTCCCAAAATGTCCAACTTTCAAAGAGAAGAATTTTTTTAATTCATTTTAGAAAATGAGAGAAGACTAGGTAAAAATGCTTTCAATTCGAGACGATGCCTTCAAAAAGTGATCTCCTACAGCACCAGTGTCAGCAGCTCTGTGTGAGTTCAGATGTCATCTACTTTGAACTTATCTCTCCTTTATGAGGGATGTTACGCTCTACTAACATTTCAGGTGTTGCACCGGCTGAGTTGGTTCCAACAAACCAAAACAACTGGTGCTGCATTGTTGTGTTAGCATGCTAATGCTAGCGATCTTTATTATGCTGGTGTCTTCACACTGCATGTAAATTTACCTGAAATGAGCGTGATCTAGAAACACAGTTAAGCAGTGAGTACAGTATGTTATTCTTCTTTTCTCTAGTCCCTCAATTAAACAACTTTTATACTCGAGGGGAGGAGTCAGCCGGCCGTCCAGGCGATGTAAACAAAGTGAAGATAGGACTCTGAAAACTCTGAAAACATCACAGACAGTGGGACTCGGGTGTTACACCCATTGTAGACAGTCATGACTCACAGAGTTATTTTCAGAGGAGATACTTGATTTATATTACATATAAGTGTGAAGAATCACAGATAAAACTTTACTTTGGTCCTCAAGCGGACACTCGATGAATCTTGCACTTCTGCATCGGCTTCATTTTTTTAACACTGGAGGATGCCACTTGAGCTACAGCAGACTTTTAGCCTCCTGACAAAACAGCTACAATACGGCTGCTTGCATTCAAGTATCAGTCACGGCCCTAATTACAAACAACTATTTTCAAAATGGTTTTCAATTGAGGAGAGAGCGTTCACAGCAAAATGCGGCAGCACAGAGATAAAGCACAGCGCCTTCTTTCGGAGAGCTCTGCCTTTTTTGTGTGGCCGCTCCGAGTGCTCATGTCGAAAAGTTTTAAACATTTCAGAAATGCAGCTAACGTCACCGACTGTCTCGTCTGAATGTTTGATATTCCCTGTAGTTTTGCCACCTATGGATCACGTCCTGTACCCAGAGCCAGCGCTTTGCTGCCCAGGGAAAAGCGCTAGGTGGACATGGCGCCTTAAAGCGTGTTAGGAACAGAGCAGAGAGCAGTTGCAGAGACTGACCATGGCGCTGGCTGTGAAACATTGACTAGAGAGGGTGTGCGATCAGCTCCCGAGAGCGGTAAGAACGCATGACGGCGCACAGGGATCATGAGGAAACTGCCAGTAAGGACAAAACTTTCTAAAACTGCCACCTCTTTTGAAATGTCAACACTTCATACAAATTTCCTTCCTTATGTTTTAAGTTTCCAAAAATGCCCACCACTTGAAAATGAACATCTTGAAATTCTTGGAAACTGCTGTTAGATTACTGTTAACTATGTTTTATTTGTTTTCCAAGTTGTTTTTACTCTTACAAATATATATGAACATTTTCCATGAGTGAAAATGTTCTCACTTTCTTTATCTATTCCTCTTCAAAAGCATCCCAACTAATCAGTCCTCACACTGAAAGTCAAACACTGACGTTGGTCCTCACAACAATAGAAGTACAAGCAAACACACACACACACACACACACACACACACACACACACACACACACACACACACACACACACACACACACACACACACACACACACACAGTAATGTGAAGAGAGTTCCTAAACTATTGAGACGGAGAACAGGTTTTGGTGCGTTTACTGACATCTGTAAACTTTAAATCATGGTATGTAAAAGCTAATGTGGTAGGCTAACTAGTATTCAGGCCACTCATTAAGAAAATATTACAACAACAAAAAGTAATAAATATGAATCCTGAAACATGTTTTTTTCCCCGTTGTTAACGTGAATGAGATACGTAAAAAACTAAAAGTCTAAAAAAGCTAAAAGGTTGGACAGCTGTAGTTAACGAGCTTACCCTGAATGCACCACCAAGACGATAGAGGCATACAAAACAGCTGATTCGACATGGGCTTAATATTGACTTTTAAAGACGAGGGAGGGAGAGGTTTGAGTTAAACATGTGACACTTTAATGGTTCAAGTCAAAAGTGAAAGTAAAGACGGAGAAGTTGTGACGTCCCTTCTGGTGTGTGTGTGTGTGTGTGTGTCCAAACACTGACGTTGGTCCTCACAACAATAGAAGTACAAGCAAACACACACACACACACACACACACACACACACACACACACACACACACACACACACACACACACACACACACACACACACAGAAGGAGGCGTTTTCCGCTTACAGGGGAAATGAAACCTAAGAGATCATTTTTCTCAAGAGCTGCAACTCCTGCTTCGCTCGCAGAGAAATCCACAGCTGAGGCAGCCAAACAGGTGAGCTCTGACTCCTTTACCTGCTCTGACCCTTTCATTTTATTTCTGACATTTAACTTTTAAAGCATGGAGTGAAACATACACTCTGGTAATATGTTGTTTGTAAACGTGTAAGAAATGAGGATCTTACATTTAGAAACGGGCCTACATGTTTTATTTTAATTATTTTAAATTTAAGTACAAATACTCAGATGAAGGCACATTAATCCGTGTACAAACTGCTTAAACTGAAGTGCATAGCACAACTTTAGTCTTACACTGAAAGACAACGCTCCAATGCCTGCAAGATCCTGCAAAACCTGCTCATACTTCTGTCATTAAGACCAGAGAGACCTCGCCCTGAGTTAGGAATCAAATATTTTCTTCCATATTTTCTTTCTTGTTGTTCCACATTGACACAAAGCGATAAGGTCTGCAGTCAGATCTCCTGTAAATGTTATCTAAAGAGAGCAGGGCTGCAAACTCACACTCATCTTTTGAAAAAACTTGCCTTATTGTAATATCGTATTTGCGATTGAAGTTCCTTTATTTGTGTTCAGTTTTTCAGCCTTTTAGTTTTCATTGGAAGAGACTTTTTAACTGTGTAACCGCTCATCTCTTATCCAGTTAATGTTTAATGTATGAGTCTGCACTTTCAGTGGGTTATCTGATCTGTGCTGAAAGTCAAAGATACGACTGGAAAAAAAAACTTTTATTAATGGAGTCCACCAAACATCAAATGGCATAATCAGGCTTGACCATGGTCACATGTTAATGAAAAAAAGAGGACCATCAATTTAAGTTTTCAAGCGTTTTCCTTTAAAAGCTAGATTTTTCAGCAAACTGGAATCACTTACCAATAAAATGGCTCTTTGATACGACCTGGAAATGGGAGATAAGTCAAATTCAAAATCAGTTTTTCGACTCAAAAATCAGGTGAAAATTGGCCCTACAGTGTATACCTGGCTTAAAGGAGCAATCAGTAAGATGTGTAGAGACTGAGATGATAAAGGTATCTTACTCTCTGATCATTAAGGAAACATGCTGTGTTGAAGTGCTGGCTTCTCTGACAACAATGCAGCAGCCAGTATGTCCTCCTTCTAACTTTACATTCTGATCCTGAATGCTCTGGATTTGTTTGGACCAGAGAAGGTAGCGCTTTTAAAGGTCTCATATTATGCTTTTTCTGGTTTTATATGCCCTTTAGTGTGTTTTCCAAGTGTCCTGTGCATGGTTAGGCCGCGGAAATGCGGCTTCTCCTACCTCGTCCTGTTAGCTGTAGCATTAGCCGCATGTAACGCTCGGTTCTAGCCCCCCTCAAAAAAATTCAAAAATCAAATTTTTCAGTGTGATGTCTTGTCAGTGTGAGATCACTGATCTAAGCCCATTGGCTCGTTGTGGCCCAGCAGCTCATGTTGCACGCCCGTTAACTTCTGTAGCACGCCCACGATATGCCGTAGCCTGCGGTAGCACAGTAGTGCTAAGGTGCTAATGTTTTTGCTCTCCTCGGAGCCAAAGTGGCTGCATTCCCAATATGGTAAAAGGGGCGGGATATTTCCGAGAACCGTGCTGAGCGACTGACCAATTACGGCAGAGCAGACAGGCCGACCACTCAGAACAGACTTGGCACACCTGGGGACTCTGAACGTGGGCACTTCAGAGCCTTAGAGAGAGAGTCAGAAGAGAGCCGGTGCATGGAGCGGCAGTTCATGAAAACAGACACTTTTTTATAACTTTAGCTATTGTGAACATACTTTAGTAGGTACATAGATTAAATATATGAACCCCAAAAAGGGCAGAATATGACCTCTTTAAGGTTATCCCCCGACACGGCCGTTTTGGACGCCCCTCGGTTTTCCAGATATGAGAGCAGTTATCAGGTCAACAGGTGTTGCAGCGATGGAAGCGGTCAAGAGAAGTGGTTCAGATAGAAGTGATTGTACCCGACCTAAAAAGCCTCTGCATGTTTCTAATAAGCTCCACGAGCAGAAACGTGCTCAAACTAGGATCAATATTGGAGATGCTTTTGAAAAATGGAGAGAGGTTAGAACACAGAAAGGTTTACAGACCCATGCAGAGCTGGATAAACACTGAAGCTTCAGAGTCCACCACATGGCGACCTGTGAGAGCATCCACTCTAAAGAGGGGGGGGGGAGACAGCTCTCTATAAAGTTTAGAATTTGGACTGCAGTCGATTTTAAGCCTCACTGTTATCTCGATTTTCCTTTCATTTATTTGATCCTTAAACTTGCTCCTGCCCCATTTTCTCTTCCAGAAATGGCCTCTTCCAATCTTCTAAAATGGTCCTCTGTGTCCGATGATCATTTTTCATGTTCTATCTGCCTGGAAGTTTTCAATGAACCCGTCTCGACTCCCTGCGGACACAACTACTGCAAGGTCTGCATCACGGGCTACTGGGCCACCAGGGACTCGAGCCAGTGTCCACTGTGCAAGGCGGAGTTCGGACAAACCCCGGTTCTGCAAGTGAACACAGAGTTCAGAGACATGTTGGAGCTTTTCAAGGAGACACGATTTGAAACTGATGTGAAAAGTTCCCTTCCAGGTGCTGTGGATGTGTTCTGCGATCTCTGCCATGGGACGAAGCGTAAAGCCCTGAAATCCTGCCTGGTTTGTCTGGCGTCCTACTGCGACGGTCACCTGAAGCCACATCACTCTGTGCAGGCGTTAAAGTGGCACAAGCTGATCGACCCTGTGAAGCGCCTCGAAGACAGGATGTGCAAGAAACACAACAAGGTGATGGAGTTTTTCTGCAAGAAGGACCAGAGCTGTGTTTGCATCCTGTGCCTGAAGGACCACCACGAGATGCATGAAGCCGTCTCTTTGGAGGAGGAGCTTAAGGAGAGGAAACATAAGGTGAAGAAAGTCAACAGAGAGGTCAAGCAGAGCCTGAGCAACAAGCACAACACGATCCTGATGATTCAGAACTCAACGAAGCAAGGTAGAGAGGAATTGGAGAGAACAAAAGCGGAAATTGTCAAGGCCTTCGATGCGCTGGTGGCGTTGATAATGACCAAAATGGTGACGCTCGTTGAGCTGTTGGAGGGGAAGCAGAAAGCGGAAGAACAGCAGGCTGAGAATCTCATCAGACAACTGCAGCTGGAGATCATCAAGGACTATCAGACGAGTAACACGCTGGAAGAGCTCTCAAAGACCCAGGATGACCTCAGACTCCTCCAGGGCCTCCCACCTGAGTCCCCGCCTTCCAGCACAAAACATCCCTTTGCAGGGAGAGCGCATCGTCTTCTGGAAGTGGAGACGGTAAAAAGTGCAATGACCAAAACAGTGGAGACGCTCAACGAACAGATGGAGATCATCACGAGAGAAGTCGACCTGGCCGAAGAGAGACAAAATGAGAATTTGTTTGGTGACGAGCTCGGCAACATCCAGATGCAACATGCAATAAATCTGACTCTGGATCCAAACACTGCGCACCCCTCTCTGATCGTCTCAGAGGACAGGAAACAAGTGAGGGACGGAGGCACGAAGAGGAGCGTCCCTGACAGCCCCGCGAGGTTTGACACTCTGCATTATGTCCTCGGAGAAGAAGGCTTTTCCTCTGGCAAGTTCTACTACGAAGTTCACCTCAACAGACAAACAAGATGGGAAGTCGGAGTGGCGAGAGAGTCCATCACTAGGAAGGGTGTCGATTTGTCCCTCAGTCCTGAAAACGGATGCTGGACGCTGGGTTGTTACTGGGGACGCTGCCAGGCTAACACAAACCCACCTGTGATCCTGACCCTGTCTAAGGTGCCCGAGAAGGTCGGAGTGTTTGTGGACTATGAAGGAGGGATCGTCTCTTTTTACGACATAGAGGCTCGAGCTCTGATCTACTCTTTTACAGGATGTGTCTTCACGGCAAGTGTGCCTTTCCTGAGAAACGTTTTCTCTCTCCCTCTCAGAGTTTACGGCGGCTCCCCAACAAACACGACAATCTACCCTTTATTCCGACCCAGTGCTGAGCAGGGGGGTGACTCTGCTCCTCTTCAGATCACTCCTGTCGGCTGCACCTAAACTAAGAGGTAAACCTGGTTTGCAAAGACAAGTTTTAGCAGTTTGTGGTCCTCGTGTTAACGCCCTGACACACCAAGGAGATCGTCAGCCATCGGTCCTAGTTGGACCGTCGGTGAGCGGTCGTCGTACCTACCTGTGTGGAATCTCTCTGATTGGCTGTTCTGTTGTTTCATTTCTCTCCAGCTCTCCTCTCAGGTTCAGTAAAGCCTCTTGAGCATGTCTCTGTAGTCTCCATGCTTTCACCCATTAGTGAGGTTTCTCCTTATTTGTCTCCTCCTCCTCTTCTTTTCTTTTTCCACTAAAAGACCAAGAACTGACAACACCAGCGCCATTTCCTACTTCTTATCAGACATTATTCTCCATTAGTAGACGACCTATAATACGAGTGGTGAGCGACAGCGGTGTGAAAATGGTCTTCTCGTATCATAACAACGGACTACCGCCCCCTGCTGACATGGAGAGTTATTTCCTCTCACTCACGAGCAGAACGTACGTGGTGGTTGGCCGTCGGCTGGAGTCTTTGAGGTGTGTTCAAGTGCAACTTTTTGGCCAAGACAAGAGGCGAGGCCACAGGAGGCACTTTCGTCCCTGCTCGTTTTTTGCCGTCTCCTTGGTGTGTCAGGGTCTTTATTTACGATAAGTAATGGTGGACTCAACTCCTCAAATACAGCAGACCTATCAAAATATGAGGATCAATGTATGCCTCTGGAGTCCGTTTAGCGTTTTGCATGGCTCCCTGGCAATAATAAAGATGCAAAACTGGTCAGACTTTCCGAAGATAGATATTAAATATTAAAAATTATATTATTAAAGTAGCAATAATGATAAAAAGCAGCAGAGACATTTTTAAAATGTACCTCTTTTCAGTCCCATTTTTATTCATAATGTAGAATATTTTGTATTTAGAGTAACATGAGGGCATAGGGTAGGCAATATGGGCGGTCACCTATGGGCGCCACGCTCTCCAGGGGGAGCCGGCGAGAGCCCTGAATGCTTTGATGGAAACCAACTACCTTCTACCGTCTGTTAACGTCCTCTCTCTTCTCCTTAAGTTCCGCTTTATTCAGGCTCTTAGTCTCTGTTTTTTTTTCTTTTTCTCTCTCTCTCTCTTGCTCGCTTCACCAGTCACTCACACAACTTTGCCTTGCCTTCACCACAACTCTGGGATTTTGAAAATTAAAAAAAAAAAACAGAGAACCGAAAGAGACCAAGAACTTTGAGTTTTCTGTTTACACAAGTCTTTACACAACTCTGGTCACCCAGAGTCGACCCCAGAAATCCAAAACACATTCAACTTCTTCCTCAAAGTATTGTTGTCGATCATGAAATGTTTTTTTTTTCTGCAGTGTTGTGAGTAAACATTCATGTTAGAGCACGTTTAGGCTGGGAGGACCTTTCAGCGCAATGGATGACCGACAGAGACTCTGCAATCATCGGCTACGGCCCACAGCAGCCTGTGATATATCTGAATGTACATTATATTTTTTATTGATCAATGCATCAAAATTTCAGGTGACCCCATGTGGTTGGGAAAGCCTGCCATATGTTATACCCACTTCTAAATAATAACTGACTACTCGTGTAGGAGCAGCAGATTAACTAAATAATATGTTGTGTCTGGGCAGGTGTTCCAACAAGAAGGGGAAACTGTTTTTTGAAAGCTAAGCAGTTGCTGCAAGAGTTACAAGGGGGTGTTTTTTTGGTGGAAATGTGGACATGTGAAAGTCAATAAATGTAAAATAAATGAATGGCATGTTCAACAATGCAATATGACTCTGACTTTCATTCATCCAACAAGCTAACGTTTAGCGCCTCAATGAGTAAATCCAGGTGCAGCGCCTCTGTGGCTTTAAACACTGCACTGGCTCCCTGTGGCTATACTGTAGGATTAACTTTAAAATTCTCACCCTCACCCTCAGAGCCATTCACGGTCAGGCCCCGTATACACCCACCTGTTCCCTCAGGTCAAACACCCTGAACCCACTGTCTGTCCCACACACACATTTTAAGAGAGGTGGTGATGGCCATAGCACCAATACTTTGGAATTCCCTAACCCATCTCGCTACGTCTTTCTGACTCTGTCTTTTAAGAAGCAGTTGAAAGTGTTTATGTTTAGACAGGGTAATCAGGTCCACCCAGTCTGCCTACTCATCTATGTTTTATTATGCCAATTATTGTTCCTGCTTACAGCAGGATCTTGTAATGTTGTCCATGACGCACTCATTTGTTCTTGTTTTTATTGCGGAAGTTGAGTGTTGATGTGCAAATACAAATGTCACAGTAATGTGAAGAGAGTTGCTAAACTATTGAGACGGAGAACAGGTTTTGGTGCGTTTACTGACATCTGTAAACTTTAAATCATGGTATGTAAAAGCTAATGTGGTAGGCTAACTAGTATTCAGGCCACTCATTAAGAAAATATTACAACAACAAAAAGTAATAAATATGAATCCTGAAACATGTTTTTTTTCCCCGTTGTTAACGTGAATGAGATACGTAAAAAACTAAAAGTCTAAAAAAGCTAAAAGGTTGGACAGCTGTAGTTAACGAGCTTACCCTGAATGCACCACCAAGACGATAGAGGCATACAAAACAGCTGATTCGGCATGGGCTTAATATTGACTTTTAAAGACGAGGGGGGGAGAGGTTTGAGTTAAACATGTGTGTCATCGCAGTGTTTGTCCTGTTGGCGACAGGACTGACGGTAACCGCCGGTAAGTTCCAGTTTTCTGACACTTTAATGGTTCAAGTCAAAAGTGAATGTAAAGACGGAGAAGTTGTGACGTCCCTTCTGGTGTGTGTGTGTGTGTGTGTGTGTGTGTGTGTGTGTGTGTGTGTGTGTGCGTGTGTGTGCGTGTGTGTGTCTTCTGTGGATGTAACTGACGCATTAATTAGAAAAATCTGTTTGAAATCTGTAAAACTAGACACGTTAATAATAATGCAGGGTAGAAATGTGGACTCTATACTTAAGGTATTTTTCTGTCAATAAGGTCAAAGAAGTTTCTTTTCAAATTATTCAACGTGTCATCCAATCAGGAGCCTCCGGTGTTTAAAGGTGCAAAATCCTGCAGTTCGTCAAGTGTCGGCATAATAATTATTTATTTAACCAGGGAAGACAATCGTTAAGATTACAAATCTCTTTTTTTGAGACCTAAGAGAGACTTTATTTGCTGGTATCTGTGTGTGGTTTAGTCTAGAGCCCGACCGATATGGGATTTTTAGGGCTGATCCCAATATCTGTCAGGCTTTTGTTTGGTCTTAATGTGATTATTTCTCCTGTTACTGTCCATCATTTAAAGGGGACATATTCTGATAAATCCTCTTCTTCAGTGTTTCTGAACATATATGTGTGTAACCTGAGAGTCTACTGACCCACAACATGTGAAATAAACCATCCAGTCCTTTGTTTGTGGTCTGCATAAGTCTTACAACACAGAGAAAAATGCTCTGTTTCTAATGTGCTCTCCTTGTGATGTCACAGTGGGATTCTGGTAACCCCCCCCCCGGTATCTCCACCCATGGACTCCACCTCCAGACTAGAACAAAACTTTAACACAGGTCCACCATTTTTATTCTCCCTACAGAGGAGTGATGTCTTCGGGGAAACCTCGGGGGGGGGGCAGGTTGTTTGCATACCTCGTACTGCATACTGAATTTTGGCCGAATCAGTACGTCCTACTAGAACAGTAGGCGGTCACAAAAACAGCCACTGTCTTTGAGTTTTGCTCAGAGAGACAAAGAGAGAGAGAGGCTATTCACATGTTCTCTAAGAATAACTGTCTGTCTTTCTACCTGTGTGCATCTCAGAGACGCATTCCCTCATGTACACCTATACTGCCTTCTCCAAATCTGTCGGGCTCCCGGGCTTCTACACCTTCACGGCCATGGGTCTGCTCGATGACATTATCATAGACTACTACGACAGTAAGAGTCAGAAGAAGGTTCCCAAACAAGACTGCATGAACAAGGCACTGCCTCAACCTTACTGGGTCGAGGGCACAAAGGCCCGCCAGGCCAAGCAGAAGTGGTTCAAAAGAAACATCAAGATTATGATGGCTCGGATGAAGCAGAACAGCTCAGGTAAGAGTCGAGAAGCATGAGTGGTCAAGGACTACGTTTTGATGCAGCAATCGTTATTCAAAGACATCGTTCCTCTTGGAACGGCAACCGACTTTTTGGTGCGTCAGGTGTAGACACGGAGAGACTTCAGGTCAAAACTGTCTTTTCCATCGTTTACAGACCGACTGTTCTGCCATGGTCAATCATTTTAAACTCACAGCTCATTATTGCTTTACAGGATTTTGTCAAATTTGTGTGAATAAATCTGAAAATCAAATCAACAACAGTCCTTTAAAATATGTAATAAACGCTCTTGTCTACATAATAAGTATGATAAATAGAGGTCGACAGATATTTGTGTTTCAGGGTCGACACTGTTACCAAGTATTGGAAGTACATGTAACCGATATTTGGAACCTTGTAAAGTAAAAATGAAAATCTTTAAGTCAAAATTTAAAACTTTGATTATTACAGAATAAGACTTTGTTTAAATGCTCAACCGGAGACTCTCCTTCTGCTGCAGGCTGCTCTCGTCTCTGTGCATGTCAGAGGCGCCCAGGATTGAGTGTTGAATAGCATTAGAGCTCGACTGATATGGATTTTTTTGGGCCGATATTGATATTGAGTGAAAAAATCTGATACCAATATCTTTCTTTCTTTCTTTTACTTTTATTGCGTTGATCCCTTAAATGCAGTTATCAAAAGATATTTAAGGAAGACAAGATGGTCACTGAGCATGTACATGCTTCTCCGCCTGAAACTCTGGAGAGTGATGATGCTCGTTGTAATCCATACAGCGCCCTCTGCTGGTGAAAGAGAACTGCTAGTGAAATACAATGATACTCAGATTAAATGCAATTTGACTGGTGAATAAATCTAGAAACATCGGCGCATATCGATGGTCACTGGATGCTCATTTTGGCCGATTAATCTGTCGGGCTTTAGCCTTTACTTGTGTGACGTCTAGCCAATCAGATAGTGTTGTGGGCAGGACAATAGGTGAGACAGAGTGGTGGGTAAACTCTGAGGGAAAGACACCTGCAGCAGAGCCAAAGTAGAGCACTTTATAAACTATTGATTTGATCAGTGATCTGTAAGATAAAACACTGATAAATACTGATTATTGCCCTCCAATAAAGGTCAAACAAGGCAGCTTTTCATCTTATCTGTCAATGAATTCACCTACTTCTGTGTTGTTTCCATTCATTCCAGACATCCATGTGCTGCAGTGGAGGCACGGCTGTGAGGCTGAAAAGCAGCCGGGAAACAGCAGCCTGCAGTTCACACGTGGCATTGACATGTACAGCTACGATGGAAAGGACTTCATTTCCTTCGACGCCACCAACAAAGTCTGGGTCGCATCAAGTGTGGTGGCAGAACAGACCAAGAGGAAGTGGGATAACGAGGAGCTGATACATTACACCATCAGCTACCTGCAGAATAATTGCATCCAATGGCTCAGTGCGTTCGTGAAATGCAGGAAAAAGCAGCTTGTTCAAGCCGGTATGTATGACGGAAAAACCTCTTTTTTTTTAAAATCCATTTTTCTTGTTTGATTAACAGACTCAGGGTACGGTCGTTCATGCTAACCTTTAGCCAGAGAAAATGCAACTAAAATCTAGGTAACACTTTATATTAAGGTGCTTGTAATAAGCATTTATAACAGGTAATAAGTCACTTATAAAACCTTATTAGATTCTTATTAACACAAATAAGACTATATAAGTGTTAATATAGGCATTATTCATCTTTATCTTTATAATCTTTATAAGTAGTGTCCCCACTTTAGATCCAGTACCTGCAGAGAAGCTTTATTAACTCTTAATAAGTGCATAATAAAGTATTTATTAATCTTTATAAGGCATTAATATGAACCTAATAAAGTCTTATCGATGTCAATAAACATCTTATGAATGTTGATAAGTGGTCTATAAGACGTTTCTTTGTTAATTAATATCTTACAAGCCAATTATAAATAATGTATTGTTTAATTAACGCTCATGAAGTCTTATTAATGTTAATAAACATCTTATTAATGTTTATGACGATATATAAAGTGTTAGTACGTTTCTAATAAGAGCCTATAAGTGTCTTATAATACATAATAAAAGTGTTAATAATGCCTATATTAACACTTATATAGTCTTATTTATGTTAATAAGAAACCAATAAGGTCTTATAAGTGATTTATTAACTGTTATTAATGCTTATAACAAGCACCTTAATATAAAGTGTTAATAAAATCTGTTCCCCAAGTGTCCACTAGAGGCTGGCTGCACAAGCACAGGAAGTCACATACACACCCATTCTAAAAAAGCAGAAATTAACAAGTTCACAGCCTGGTTAAAAAAACGATACTGGTGTGATTAGTTATTGTCCTGATGAGCACCCACTGTACGGGGGGTGAATTTTATTATGGTTTGTCAGGAGGTTTAAAACCCGCCTCAGCTCCAGCTCTCAGCCTGTCGTTGGGTTGACTGAAAGTTAGACTGAGACAGCATTTCCAGCATGGAGACCGCCATCGATGGGACTCCAGCGCCCCCTGCAGGAACAGACGGGGGACGCCACTCAGGCCTCGTCCATTAATAATTACAGTCTGTGTTCCACGTCTGACCACACAGAGCAACCCGAACAAGCAGGGGACACAAGCTTTCACACTACAGACATCGATATCCCAGCATCAGGACGATTAAAATACAAGTTCAGAAATAAATAAACAAGAAAGGGTTCATTTGTGAGTACCCCCAGTCACATCACTTAAAGGGATACTTCACCCATTAGCATTAATCTTTGTATCATTAGAAACCTGGTAGTATTTTTGAATGGTCGTGCATCCCGCCCTCATTTTCCCCTGAGATGGGAAATCTTTGTATTTCTGAGTCTGTAAAGGAGCTTCCAGTGGCGCAAAATGATGATTTTTGTGTCACCGGAAGCTGTTGTGGTTAGCGGGGTGAAACTACGACTCTAGTTCCTCATATTTTCGACCACTGAAGCTACAGACCAATCACAGATCAGTGGGTAACCATATAGCTTCCGCCATATTGCTTGGAAGATACGCTAACAGGCTCTAAGGAGAAAGCTGATCATGGCGAAAAATATAAATATAGCGGCGAGATGGCTGCTGACGACAGGCCGGTCTTGTGTTTTGGCTGTCGCCACCGTGACACAAGACCGGCCTGTCGGCAGCAGCCATCTCGCCGCTATATTGCTGTATTGCCGCCGCCTGGTAGTGTCGGTGCTCTCACTGTTTGTCTATGGACACAGACATAGAGTCTGTTTTCTGACAGGAATTTCCCAAGATCAATTCTGGAAGAAATCTCTGAATCAGTTGAGGAAATGGTTTTATGTGTTGAAGTAAATATGTCTGTAAATGTTTTTATTTCTATATTTCTCCTGCTATACTGTATATTTTGGAGAAACTTCAACGATCAAATTTCCCTCTGGGATTAAGAAAGTATTTCTGATTCTGAACTAGAGGACCTTAGTGGGAGTGGCCTGCGGTGCTGTGCATTCTGGGATTTGGTGTCATTCATCCACATGATAAAACATCATCGTTTTATTGTTTCCTGTAAATGATATCACTTTATCGCTTCTCCTTGCAGCGCCGCCAAAAGTTCTCATGTTTGCAAAGAACTCCAAAGTCAAGAAGAACGTCGTTTTGACCTGCCTGGCGACAGGTTTCTTACCCAAATATATCGAGCTGAAGATCAAGAACGAGGGTCGTGTTCTAAACGGAGCCGACAGAGTGGTTTCTACAGGCCCCCTTCCCAACGGCGATGACACCTTCCAGAGGAGGGATGACATCGAGATCTTCAGGGATGACTTAGCGACGTACACCTGTGAGGTGTCTCACTCAGAATCAAACTTACATATTAATAGCACCTGGGGTAAGTTTGATTGTTTTTTTGCGACATTAATCTCTATTGGAACTGCGTTATAAACTGAACCTCATCAATAGAAATGCTTTTGAAAGTGAGCTGAGAGTGTTTTCTGTGTTTTTAGATAAACCTGAAGAGTCTGGAAATCTACAAGTGATTGGCTGGGTATCCGGGGGTCTGCTCATGTTGGCCGTGCTCATGTTGGCCGTGCTCGTGCTGCTCGTCTTCTTGTGTAAAAGAAGAAATTGCGTTTTCATTAACATTGTCTTCTCTAGACAACAAGATTCCAGTGAAGATGTTTTGTAATATAAACAGAACATTTAAATCTATTTTTGGACACAGCTTTTCTAGAAGTACAGCGTGCTCTGCTGTGTGTTTGTACGAGCTGTAACGTTATGACTCACTCCTCTCAGCTGTAAGCCAGAAGGACGTCTGTATGAAGTCACTCCCATCAACCCCCCTGTCCTCCCCAGACGTGCTGCTTGTAAAACAGGCACCTGCTTGGGGGGCCCCAGGCCAAACTTTAAACCACAGCAGTGGCTCAAAATGTGCACGGTTTGCAATGACAATAGGAAACCTCCCTGTTGGAGCCATGGATGGATATAATTGTCTTTGTGGTATTTCTTTAAGGTTAAGGTAGTCTGTTATATATTAGTATTTTGGGTTATTAATTATATTATTATATCATTTATTAGGATTATATTGAGTAGGGGGATGTCGGGTCACATGGGTATGGGTGGAGATGTGTTGATTTTTTGTTCTCAGTGGAAGAGAGGGGGTGAGCTAGGTTGCTGTATTTTTTGTTGACCACTATTGTTTCTAGTTCACTGTGATTATGAGTTAATGCACGTTATTATAAGTTAAGTTGATTGTCTTTTTTACGTTAATAAAAAAGTCAAACTTATTTTTACGGATCACAGTATTCTTTTGAAAGCGCGTCGGACAAATGCATTAAGCCCAACCTGAGCCTCTCAGCGGCTTCATCATCAGGAAAGCCGCTATACTCCCTAAGGGGGCCCCCATCACACATAGTTTTTAAGCTTCTTTATACTTCTATTTTATTTAGATAAGAATGTAATCTTTGATGGCTGGCTGGAGGGGCCCCCTGTGAATTTTAACCTTCGACCCGACAGACTCCAGAATCACCACTGGTCCTCCCTTAAAACACAGAGTGTATCGCAGTGGCCTTGGTGTCAGCCAGAAGATATTTAAACTCATCTTCCTGATCCAACCTTCACAACAGGGTCCTAAGTCTCTGACTAGACTCTTCTCCTCTGTCGCCCCCCGGTGGTGGAACGATGTACCAAACTCCATTTGATCTGCAGAGTCCCTCTGCACCTTTAAGAAAAAGCTGAAGACCCAGCTCTTTATGAACACCTACGACCTTCATGATGATGATATTTAGGATGGTTTCTATACTGATTAGAATGTTAAAAAACAGCTGTGGATGTTGTGCTCTGCCTCTGGTCACTTCCTGTCAGCAGCTGTGCGTCTGATCAGATGTAATATTTAAAAAGTTATTTATCCAAAGTGGGATAAACATCCTTCATCTTACAACATTACTGATGAGATGTAAACCATAACATGAGCTCATCTTCATGTGTAAGTGTAGCTGCTATGTTTGTCTGTGTTACTGCTATGTACATAGAGAGCCTTAAAGCCACTGTTCTGTGCACTACTGCCCCCTTGTGGTCACACAGTGTCACTACAACTATTTACATTCAGAAACTGCCTTATGAAATGCTTACAGAAATTCTCAGTATGCTGTTTTTTTTTCATGACAGCCTTTTTAAAAAACAAAATGTTTACTCTGCTCTCTTTGACATGGTAGTGACACTCTTGACTGCCCCCTGGTGGCTGCTGTTGGTCACTGCACCTGTTCAAAATGAACAGAGGTTGAAAGTGCTGCACTGTGAAACATGAAGGTGATAAGAGACATTCAAAATAAGAGGAAACCACAGACCTCCATCGTCCCTGTAGGTGGTTAAAACATTTAATGTTGTGCCACAGTATTTCCAAAGCATGTACAATTGTTTTAATAATAATAATAACTTTATTTCTACAGCACCTTTTAAAAACACAGGTTTACAAAGTGCTTTGACAAACAGCAAAAACAAGAACAAACTAAAGCAAACACAAAAGAACATAAACAACAACAAGAACATAACAAATACAAAATACTAAAAATAATTAAATACAATTCAACAGAAAAGAACCCAAAGTGCACGATACCCAACAGACATATAGAACCAGACCATCACAAGAACCATCACAAGAACCATCATAAGAACCATCACAAGAACATCATAAGAACATCATAAGAACCATCATAAGAACATCATAAGAACCATCACAAGAACATCATAAGAACCATCACAAGAACCATCACAAGAACCATCACAAGAACATCATAAGAACCATCACAAGAACCATCATAAGAACCATCACAAGAACCATCATAAGAACCATCACAAGAACCATCATAAGAACCATCACAAGAACCATCACAAGAACATCACAAGAACCATGATAAGAACCATCACAAGAACCATGATAAGAACCATCACAAGAACCATCACAAGAACATCACAAGAACCATCACAAGAACCATGATAAGAACCATCACAAGAACCATCACAAGAACCATCACAAGAACCATCACAAGAACATCACAAGAACCATCACAAGAACATCACAAGAACCATCACAAGAACCATGATAAGAACCATCACAAGAACCATCACAAGAACATCACAAGAACCATCACAAGAACCATCACAAGAACCATCACAAGAACCATCACAAGAACCATCACAAGAACCATCATAAGAACCATCACAAGAACATCACAAGAACCATCACACACACACACATATATATATATATATATATATACACACACACACACACACACACACACACACACACACACACACATTTATTTATTTATTGTGTTTTTTACTCATATTGTGTGTTTGGACAACCTGCTGCTGTAACGCCACAATTTCTCAGTTTGGGATCAATAAAGTAATTCTATTCTAAAAGATAAAGATAAAGTTTATTGATCCCCCATGGGGAACATTTTGTATTACCACAGTTCAAGAAAACAGGAAAAAGGACAAAATTATTAAAAATAAAAATAAAAATCAAACATATGTACATCAGTTAAATAACGGCAGAGAAAAAATACAATAATAGAAAAATACCAGGTTTGTGCATTTCCACTTAAAAAACACACACAGTGTGTAGCATTACTGATGTGAGTGGTGATGCTGTTAAACAGTCTGATTAAACAGTCTGATTAAACAGTCTGATTAAACAGTCTGATTAAACAGTCTGATTAAACAGTCTGACGGCAGATTCTATTCTATTCTATTATTTTTTGGGACTTCGGGGCCTCCGTAGAACACTTTTTGTTTTGACTTCTTAATCTGTGAATGTGATATAATTGCCCATAGTTTGGGCAACTTGCCATCAACCATCATGGCAGCTCTGCTACGCAATCGAAGGTCAGACTCACTCTCGCTTCTGATTGGATCGGACACTGTAAGTCCCGCCCTCCTCATTCTCCACGTGGCCTCTAGCTGCCGTGATCGCGCCTGCCGCCTGCCAATCAAACAGTTCTCAGCCAATCAGCTGCTTTTGTCCTTTTGACTCGCTCTCCCGTCTAACAGCTCACCGGCAGCTTGTGCTTTTACCCCATCCAACATGTCGGCTACGTCCGTGTTCCCCATGTGTGTCCGGGCGAGCCGGGGCCTCCTGCGGCTCCGGAGCGGGGCGGCGGGCGTCTCCTCCCCGGCTGTGGTGCACACAGTCCGGACACTCTCCGCGGAGAAGCCGCCGACAGGCAGCGTGACGGGCGGGCTGGCTCAGGCTATCCTCCAGGAGAAGCTCCAGCAGCAGCAGAGCCAGGTGAGGAAGCTAAGCTCGCTCGATTTGTTCACCTGCGCAGCGCTGACTGCGTAACTCCCGCCTTTTGACGTGAAACCCCGCCCACACGAAGTGTCCGTTTAACTGAAACCGAAGCTACCCCTCTTACATGGAATATTGACCACACACTAAGTAATAACGACTTTTATTCGCGTGTCATTCTTATGAAACGTGTCCGCGTTATGACTGCTTTCTGTCCGCTGCGGGCTGCCGTAGTTCATCTGAATACTGAATGAATGAACCTGAGATCAACGTAGCTAACAGGTTAGCAGGCTAATGTTAGCATGCTAATGTTAGCATGCGTTTTCACAGGTACTGAGAGGCTGCCTGTCTCACCTTGTGACGTCATAAACCAAATGTGACTTTAACAGTCTTGTTCTGAGCTTAATCGATTTACTCTTCAACAAATTAAAGGGGTTCATTTGTTTATTTTGATTTACTAAAGGGAGCTCTGACAGGTAGCCTGAAGTTAGCATTAGCTCTGTTTGGTTCTGCCCCCCCCTCTATGGCTCACTGTAGCTTGTACCCCCCTCCTCTCTGTGCCCCCCCCCCCCCCCCCCCCACACACTGATGTAACTGTGATAACCCCTCATTTAATGTAGGAGCTGAGAGATAAACACAGTTAACATTCAAGGTTTGTTTGGTTTGAAGGTCAGCACAGAGACCCGCCCCGCCCCCCCCACACACACACACACACCCCCCCCCCCCACACACACACACACACACACACACACACACACACCCCCAACTGGAGGACCACCAGGACCCTGACTCACATGTTGCTGAAGTTGTTTAACGAGTTTTCAGGCAAAGTGTTTGTCAATTCCTGGAAATTGAAAATTATAATAAACAATAAATTATAATAATAATAATAATAATAATAATAATAAATAAATAACACACAGACTGTTGATGCCAACAAATTACACCAGTGTCTTAATAAGTAGTAAATAATAATAATAAATAAATAATGATAAATAATAATAATAAATAAATAATGATTAATAAACAATAAATAATAATAATAATAATAATAATAATAAATAAATAACACACAGACTGTTGATGCCAACAAATTACACCAGTGTCTTAATAAGTAGTAAATAATAATAATAAATAAATAATGATAAATAATAATAATAAATAAATAATAAACTAATAATAATAAATAAATAACACACAGACTCTTGATGCCAACAAATTACACCAGTGTCTTAAGTAGTAAATAATAATAATAAATAAATAATAATAATAATATTATTTATAATTATTTATAATAATAATAATAAATAAATAATGATTAATAAATAATAAATAAATAATAAACTAATAATAATAAATAAATAACACACAGACTCTTGATGCCAACAAATTACACCAGTGTCTTGTGACCTTAGACACGAATTGCTCAATTTTCAAGTGAAAAAGATGATGATGATAAGGCTGCAGGAGGGATTTGAAGTCAGTTAGCCAGGGGTGTCCAAAGTGCGGCCCGAGGGCCATTTGCAGCCCCTAAGGGGATTTTTTGCGGCCCAGGACTTCAAATGAAGAATCAGAAGATTTTGGCCCGAGGCCTCGATTAAGATCGGCACATTATCTTATTTTTCTTTTTCATGTTAACAAGCGCTGAACAATATTCCTAAAATAGAAAATGTTCAGTAACATGTATGTTGTTGTTGGTTTTAAATCTACAGCTTTTACTATTTTCCACATTTTTTTGTAAATTATGAAAAAAAACTTATTTTTGCAAACAAGCGGACTGTTGTTTAACCGTTTAATGACCTGAGCTGAATGCAGAAAGCTTTTCCAAAAACATGAACCACGTTACAGGCTTGATTCTGAGAAGAAAACAAATAAAGTAGAACGAAGAAATCAAAATATTTGATTTCCTTTTATTAAAGGGTTTCTTTAGTGAGCCTTCTGATTCTGATCTACAAAGCCTTACTATTTTTTCAACTATATTTTAAAAGTTTGGACACGACTGGTTTAGACTCTATACCGAGGCAGTGGGTGAGAAAGTACGTCACTTTCTTACTTGAGTCAAAGATTAGTTTCTCCTGATACAGCTGTGCAATTAATGCCAATTTCCTCGTTATCTTGATCTGTGAACATTCACAATAAACACATCAAGAGTCTGAATTCATCGGGATAAATACATTTTTGTAAACAAGTAATGCTTTCTCATTCAGCATGTAGACATTTCAACTATTGGATCAATTTAGTGCTGAAAAAAAAGTGAATATTTATGAGTATATATAGATGGCTTTTTGAAATTTGAGTTTTAAAGGATTGTATTGCAGTCCAAATTCAAAACATTAAAGAGAGCTGGCGCCTCCTTCCTAGAGTCGATGTTCACACAGGTTGCCATGTCGCTGATGGTGAATTTAAAGAGGACATATTATCCCCCTCCTCCACCTTCTCAAACAGTCCCCTGTGGTCTAAATGAAACATCTGTGCTGTGCTTTGGTCAAAATATAACATGAATCAAGCACCAGAGGAGGTTTGTGACCCTGTATAAACCAGCTCTCTCAGAATGCTCTGTTTTGGTGTGTGTGTCTCTTTAAATGTAATGACCCCCCCTGAGTTTTCCCAGTAGACATCACTCCTCTGTAGAGAGAATAAAAATGGAGGACCTGCTCAAAAGTTTTGTTCTAGTCTGGGGGTGGAGTCCATGGGTGGAGATACCAGGGGAGGGGAGGGGATTTTTTTTTTCTCCCAGAATCCCACTGTGACATCACAAGGAGAGCACATTAGAAACAGAGCATTGTTCTCTGTGTTGTAAGACTTCTGCAGACCACAAACAAAGGACTGGATGGGTTTATTTCACATGTTGTGGGTCAGTAGACTCTCAGGTTACCAACATATATGTTCAGAAACACTGTACAAGTAGATTTATCATAATATGTCCCCTTTAATTGTTATTCTTCTGCAGGGCCAGCCCCCTCCTGAGGGAGGTGAGGGAGAGCGGGACGGGGAGCAGAAGGACGACAAGAAGCAGAAGGAGAACACGGCCTACGCTAAGAAGATGGTGCTCCGACTGGCAGGGCTCATGGGGATCGGCGGGGCGGTCGGCATGGTCTACTTATTCGGTGAGTGTGGAAACTTTAAGGCTCAGGTGATTTTGTTTGTTCCTGTGGGTAAATGTGGCTGCAGGGAGAGTCACGTACACTTGATAAAGCACAGACGATACAGGAAACAAACACACAGTACTGAGGGAACAGTCCAGACGTGCACACAGTGTGCAACCTGAAATTACTCAGACAAGACGAAGCAAGGAAATGTTCACATACACTCAGGCACGGTCAGTTTGTCTGCAGGTTGACTTTCTGTTTCAGTGCCAAACATTTAACTCGTAGAGCTTGAATTAGGGCCAAAAAAAAAAGAGTCATTACAGCTCAAATAAACACTTGAGACGCGTCATGCTGTCCTTTTTTATTCATGTATGTTTTCCTCCAATGACGCCTCATGGCGGTGACCTCGGCGGGTAGCCACATGTTGCATTTATCAAGAAGGAAACACGTTTAATCTGCAGGCGTCTGCAAATACACCTCTAAATACCCAATACGCAACATTTTACCTTCCAGATTGAATGGACACACACACACACACACACACACACACACACACACACACACACACACACACACACACACACACACATTGTTTTCTGCAGAGTGATGAATGTCATGCTACCTTGTTCTCTTTCTTTTTTTACGGTCAGTCTAAAAATCGTTGATTTGCTGAAAATCAAGACCTGTTGTAAAAAGAGCAAACGCTTAAATGGCGGACTAGCGTCGTAGTCTGGTGCTATGGCGACAGTTTTTCTTTTAAATGAATTCTCTGTTTGATTGGACGAGTTCATAATGTCAACAAACAGGAGCGGAGATTAACATGCAGGGGAACCGAAAACATTCTTACCCGACTGAGATCGTGCCGCTCCGAGGGCTTTAGCCTTATCTCCTCTTTCTTTTTTTAAATTACTTTTTATTGTCATCATGTCTTAACTTACAGTACACATATTTTATATTCAACATAAGGAGGACAATATTTAACATTTTTATAAGTGGTGTGGTGTCAAAAAGGTTGTGTCCCCTCCCAGTGATGTGGAAATACTAAAAATAACACTTACAATACAGAAACATGATTTACAGTTTGTTTAAAAGAGCTTAAAGTAAAACTGAGGTCGCTTGGCTCTGTGTTACATAAATTGGAATAAATCTGTGAAGAAAAAAAGACATTAGTTATATATAATGAAAGAATCAAATTAAATTAAAAGAAAGAGAAGAGACAGGAGAAAGAAGAGAGAAAAAAAACAACAAAAATAATTTTTTATGTGGTTATTTCCTCCTTCTGCCCGCTTGAGGCGACATTTCCAGAATATTACCTGCTGCGTTCATTCATCAGATCTGACTTCATGCAGACTCGTTGCTAAAGGGTTAGCGGGATTTGTTTGCGGTTAAATCAGAGTGAAAAACTCGACCTGTTTGTGTCCATACGTGCAGCTCACCCTAAAAAATTTCAGGAAATTTTCAGGATTTTTGTGTACAGGTGAAATCACTTAATGTGTAAAAGTAACATGTGAATGTTTGATGCTCTCACCATCACTTTCACAACCTGTTCCTCTTTGTTGTATGTGAGCATCAACACAGATAAACGTGTTTAATTGGAAAGTTTTCCTGTCTCAATGACGTCTTTCTAAAAAGAATTTCAAGCTTTTTCTGTCTTTCTCCGTCAGATTGAAGGTTCATTGAACATCTTGAGTTTTTGTGCTGTCGGTCAAACAAAATGCGACTTGAAAAAAGTCTCCAAGTTAAATAAAATGTCAAACTTTGTTGTTGATTTTCTCCAGTAATCGTTAAAATAAAAAGTAAGAAACATCAAAGTGTTTCAAAGCTCTAACTATCTGCATGACTTAATGCCCCCTCCTATGTGAACATTGGGTGTGATTGGTTTATCGCCCCTCAGCTTCCTGTGTGTAGGGACAGCCCACAGAGGGGGCGGAGCTAGCTGCTGTCAGTCAGACGTGAGCAGCTTGTCTTCAGAGAGAAAGTCACACTGTCAGGTAGAAAACACGAGCGGGGTGTCAGAGCGTCTCGGGACACATTATAGATTGAGATCAGAACGTCTTGAGATTCCTGGCAGAAGGTTTTTTTTTTGGATTCTGACTTTAGAACGGCAGTGATGTAAAAGGATTTTATCAGGATGTTGACGAGGAGGGATGGGACACAGTGGAGCTGCTGGTTCTTCTGCTGGATTCAAGGAGTTGCTGCTGCTTTTTATTTTTACCTTCAACCTCTTCCTGTTCCTGAAGTTTTTTTTCTTAATCGGGGACGTTTTGGATTTCTCTTTCTTTTGTCCTCTTCTTATGACCGAAGCGCTCTCCACAGCTGGTTTATTTCCCCTGCTGATGTGCCGCCGTGCACTCTGCAGAGGAGTGATGGCATGGTGTCTCAAACGGAGCCTAAAGAAAAAAAAGTGTATGCTTTGGAAGTGCCAGATCTCGCTGATCTCTGCAGGAGATGCACCGACTTTTCCTTTCCCCCTCATCCTGATGCTGGAGGACGTTGTTGGAATATGTTCTTAAACCATGTGGATTTTTTTTTTAACCCTCCCAAGTCTCATATTGTGGATTATAACTCGACAACAGCTGGATAATAATCTGCATGTTTGTCCTGGTTCCCCTGCAGATAGGTTTGTGAAATGCTTTTTGGTTCAGCGTCTCTAGATTTGGGTCTCTCTCAGATATTATCTGTCGGGCGAGTTCGCTTTGTGCACGCTCTAAAAACTGATGAAGTTTTGCTAATGAGACTTACATAAAGAAAGGCTTTGATTGGTTGTTGGTACTCTGCATGTCTCACTTTTTAGAGAAGAGTAAATTCACTTTTAATCTGATATTTGTGAATGTTCGTTTGTTTGCATATGGTTGACCATCCTGCATGTTAAAACATTTCAAAGATGTTGAATAAAGAAAATCAAAGGTTTTAAACCCTGGGATGTTTTGTTTTTTTAAAGATGTTCTGTTTGTTTGACCAACAGCTCAAAACATGAAGGATTCATTCACCTAATCCATTTTAAGTGGATGCCTCCAGCCTATTGTGGATTCTCTTTTTTTTTTTTTAGGTTGTGGTGTTTTTCTGACTGCTGCTTCATTTGTAAACAATGAAGTCAAACTGATAGTGTCAGAGAAGAAGAATGAGTCCAGAGTGTGACTTTAATTCATGCAGAAAGACAACAACAGTGTTGGAGGTGAAATCTGACATGACTCAGCAGTTTTTGTTTTCCTTGCCTCAGAAAACCTCGTGCGTCTCTGCTCTGTTTCTACTCAGCGTTCAAACTCAAGTGTAACCTGTTGCATTAATCTTTAAAAATGTGTGCATGCCTCCTCTTTCTTCTTAAACAATCAGACAAATCAGGAGAGTTACAAACTGCTGAACTGAATCTGCATCTCGAGCTGCAACCTGCAAATATTTGACTTTTTCTGATCACAGCAGAAATGAAATGTTTCTCAAGTGTTAACGGTTCATTTTGTGTTTTTAGACAAAACTCTGACGTCTACAAACATCAAACCCCCGCACGAGTTTCCAGAGCTCATACTAAACAGAATATCTTTTCAGTCAGATGTCAGAGTCAGATGTTTGAACTGTCTTATTAACAAAGTTTCTCTCCCCTGACTTCAGGTCTATAGACTCATATTATACGGTACATGCTGGGGCCCGACTGATATGGGATTTTTGGTGGCGATGTCTTTCTCTGATCTCTGTTCGATCTGTAGAGATAAATTTAGACATTTATTGTGTTGATCCATCAGTTATCAAACACAAGATGATCACTCGACTGGAAAATTACTGTTCATGTACGTGTATCACACACTGCAGAGTGATGATGCTCGGTGTAATTCTTACAGCGCCCTCTGCTGGTCAAAGAGAACTGCTAGTGTAAAACAATGAAACTCAAATGGAACGATGTTTAACTGGTGAATAAATCAAGTAATATCAGCTCATATCTGTGATAAAATCAGCTGATGCCGATGGTCACAGGATATGCTGATATCGGCCGATTATTATCACTGGCAGATTTTATTACAACTGTTTGAAATAAAAACACTTCAACTTTATTTCTGCTAAAGTTTACAGCTGCCTGTCTTTCAGAGAAACGCCCTTCAGAGCGCTGATCATCTTTTTCTTTTCTTTCTTTTTTTCAGGCAGCAATTCAGTGGACGAACAAGGAAACCCGGTAAGTCTGATCTCACACACACACACACACACACACACACACACACACTTATCCCTGCAGCTGTTTATTAGTCAGGACACATTTACTCGTCCGTTTGAGAATTAAGCAGGACGTTCTCGGCAGCGGCACACTTTGGCGCTCTGCTGTGAATCTCTTTCTTCTTTTGATGTGCGGCGGCGGCGGTGGCGCTCCGCTCACCTCGCAGGCTAGGAGCTCCGCTTCCTGTTGTAAAGGACACACATCACAGGAGGATGTGATGTGTGTCCTTTACAACAGGAGAGGAAGGAGCACACTTATCTCACCTCCTCTCCTTCCCCCTTTGGTTCCTTGTTGATGTGTTAAAGAGGAGGCAGCACACTTCACAGGTCGATGTGATGTGGAGGTTCTCGTCTGAGCCGTCGAGAGCATCAAAGAGGCTGATGACCCCCCCACCCCCCACCCCCATGAATAATGACCCTCATATCCAGTCCTGCCATCAAACAGACAAAGCTCATTAAAGAGCCGGTTTATTACTTCAGTGTTCAAACTTTAACATTTTCAAATCAGGATTTCTTTTCTTTATTAGGAACATTTAGAACTTCACTTTTACACTTTGTCTTCATGCAGCATTGACTGGTCAGACTTGTTCACCTGCTCAGATTTCTTTTTAATAACATTTTAAATTAAACATTGTTAAAAAAAAAAAAGAATATAAACTTATGCTGCAAAAGAGTCTCCAATAAATAAAGTATTTTAGAATGAAATGAACTAATCAAGAGAGCCTGAATATAAACATATTTATTTTAAATTGCAGAGACAAACAACGACACCTTTTGGTTTATGAAGCCACTTTTTTGAATGCAGTAGCAACTATTAATATTTCTGTCTCTGTCAATATAAAAACACTGACACACACAAATCACACTCAGTGTCATTTGAAATATTTTTTTTTCTGAGTTTCTAAATAAATTATTCATTTTCGTTGGTAAAATTCTGACTCCTCTTTTGTCTTTTGCCCCATGAGCCGGGTTATGACAACAGGGTGGTTGTTGTTGGTTGATTATTTTGTCCAGTAAATGTTAATAATTATTTTAATGACAAGAATTTCAAAAAAAATTGCACGCAACTAAAACATTGTTCCACTTCACCTCCAACCGAGGGGAAACACTGACACTCTGCATGTAATCCGCTGCAATCAAGATGCCAGTAGCATTAGTCATGGCTTTGGCCTGTTCAGAGTTACACATAGAGACTGTAGGAACACTTACTTCACCGTTTGTACAGTTTGAAGAGGTCTACTTCAGCACGGCTTCACAAATATCATTAAACATTAAAAACAACTTAAAGCGTTTAAAAAAGAGTAAAACTTGACATTTGAGATTGGATTTCCTTCTCTAAAGCTCTCGTGTGTAAATTGGGGATTGAAGTCGTAATTTGGCAGGAGGTGAGCTCTGAGAGGTGTCGGCCTGAGAATCTGGGACTCTTCAAAGGGGGGCACACTTCTCTCACATTAAGACCCTTTTGTTCAGAGCACAGAGGCAAAACGTCTCAGGATGGCTTCCTGCTAATCGCTCTTTGTGTCCCCCCACCCACCACTTTGAAGCCTACGGCCCGAGAAAAAACAGGAGAGCCGTCCAGAGAGCGGGCTCTTTACACTTCCTGCTTTTACATTTGATTATCCAATGAGAGGAGGGCTCTGCTTTCCACATGCAAAAGGATCCAGATCTGCACATTCATGACCTCGTTCTGGTGTTTTCTTGTTTCTCTGCTTGATGCTAATCGATCCAAACACAAGAAATGATCCGAGTCTTACTTCAGTGTTTTATAGAAAGTTTTGGGGATTGGAATCAGAGAAACGATATTCCGCCTGCTGTGTCATTGTTTTGGATCAAACAAAGCCTCATTTTGATGACGTGAGTGGAGTTGTGAATGTGGGAAAGAGGATCTGTCTTTTGTCTGCCTTCACTTCCTTACAGTCTGGGAGGATCCCCTCCTTCAAAGAGCACACTTATCTCACCTTCACATCCTCCTGAGCCTCCTGCTCCCATCAGACGACACACTTCACACTTCTGGAGGCGGCGCTGCGGCGGCCGTCTTGTGCCGCTCGTCTGATCCTTCAAAGAGCACACTTATCACACCTCCTCGTCCTCGTGAGGCTTTCCCGGCTTCACGCTCGACATTTGCTAAACAGGACGCCATGACATGTGGCGTGTGCCGGGGCTGCTGTGAGAGCCGATGCAGTTTGTAGTTCAAAGAAAAGAAAACACCTCTGAGGACATGACGAGTGTCTGTGTACGATGTGTGGTCTCAAGCTTCTCCGTGCTGGAGGACATTTATTTTGTTGTCTGTGTCAATCTGGTTAATCAAGTTTTTCTGTTTATTCCACTTCTTGTTGTTGGTTTTTTTCTGCCTTGTTAATTATGATTTTTGTTTCATGGACAGCGTTGGATTTTTTCCCTCCCTCGTGTTGTTTTTTTTGTTCCTGTCAGAAGTTCACTCAAGTAAATTTTCTAGAACATTCCTGTTTAAAAAAAAAACTCCCTTTTTGCACTTTTTAAGACGAGAGAAAATCTGAAGTCCGGCTGTGCGATATGTCGCACGACAACGATGATTTTAAATGTATTTTGAATATGTAGAATAAATATATTTTTTGACTTTCAGCACACATCATGCAGCGTCAGAAGTGTTGATTTTAAACGGATAAAAACGATGTTTGCTCACTTCTCGTTTCAAAGCACGAGGTCTGCTTCACTTTGGGAGCTGGTTATTTTTGATGTGTTTACTGTCTCTAAAACGCAAAGAGGCAAGCTACAAGCTCGAGTCGACTTCAACCAATAATCTGAACTTTTCCAACTTTGAGTCTGAACTGAATCTCCTCGTCTGTTTCTGGATCGCTCTCTGTTTGTTTTTTGTTTTTTCTGAGTTATTGTCTGAAGGGGATGTGAGGACGCGGGAACCAGGACCCGTCCTCTCCTCCGGGCCCGTGTTGTAAAGATCTTTTCTTCTTCTCATTCTCGCACGTTATAAACTCTCCTGGTTTGTATCCTGTCTGGACGACTCACTTCAAAGCAGAGGCACACTTCTTCCACCTTCAGACCCCTCCCCCCCCCCCCCCCTCGGAGGCCTCCTGTCCCAGCTGTCAGCGGAAACGATGGCTCTTGGGGTGACCTTGGTTAAAACCTCTTTTTGCAGGCTGGGAGGTAAAGGGGCGGGGCATCAGGAGGACACACTTCTCTCAAGTTGCACTTTAACCTTTAAAAAAGCCATCATGAGACATGCAGAATCGTCTCAAACAGGAAGTGGAGTCGCTGCTCACTCATCTCACCCTCTGTCTGAACTATATTCTCTGAGTCTTTCTTTCTCAGAACTGGACGTTTCCTCTCCTCAGCTGCTTCCATCTGGTGGTTTGGTGTTGCACATGTGTTGCCTTGTTCTTTTGTCTTTGTGAGTAAAAGTTGGTGAAGAACATCAGCGAACGATTTGTGTTTTCATGAAGTGTGATGATGAGATCCAGGATGAAGAGGAGCTGCAGAGGTGCTGAAAGTTCATATTCCATCTGTGATGAGGCGTTAGGATTCAAGATGTCCTGTCTGTCAACGCACCCGGCTGTCTGAAGTAGTTTTCAGTTTGATCCAGCAGAGGGCGCCCTCAGCTTGACTTGACCATTTGATGCACTCTTGAGCTCAGTAAATAAATAAAAAAGGAATGTTGAGGCAGAAGCAAGGGGGGCGAACTCACATGAGGGAAGACTCGGACCCCCCCCCCCTTCAATGCAAATCAGCCCCATTGCAAAAACTATCTCATTTGCAAAAAACGGCTCGGGGGAGTAAAATAAAGAGTCTGCTGAGAGTTGGTGGAGGGATGTTTTAGGTGGTCATGACAACAAGTCCGCCTCTTGATGACCTTAAAATAGATTATCCTCATACACAGATTGCACATTTTTACTTTGACATTTATTATTGTTGATGAATTCATTTTAAATCAGTCCGTGGTTCCCCGTCCTGGTTGTAAGCAGGGCGGGGCTGCAAGTGTGTTTATGTTGTTGTTGTCTGTTTGAGTTTTCCTTCATTGCTCCTTCAGGGGAGGAAACTTTCTTTTAAAAGGTGAAATTAAAATCACTAAATAGTTTTTTTTAGTCTGGCCTCATAATAAATTTGAAAAGTGTCCCCTCTCCTCTCAGCTCGTCATATTTATGTGGATGCAGGCTGTGTAGACAGCTTCTCCATCCACTGTTGGTTGAAAAAACTGGAGCAACCTGCACAGCACTGGATGATTGTTAGGCCGTGCTTGTGCTTGAATATGATGAGCACGATATGATTCATGAGTGACATCTTGAGACTTGAGCAAACGATGCTCTTGTGTTGTGTGCGGTTAGCAACATCTTTCCACTCTCTGTGAACTCTGCACACATTTTTCTGCAATCAAAGCGCCCATGTGAGGTTCACACATCAGATGGTGCAATGATAGTTTCTCAAGTTTATTAATAGATGTGAATATTTCCTCAATATGGTGTTCATATTCAGAAGGAACGCCTGAGGAACCACAACAGGCCGTTGTCCTCTGAGGTCAAAATGCAGCAAAAAGGACCCGTCAGATTATTTAGTTTATAACAGCCTGATTCTCAGTTAAGGATTTTAAACAGATGACACCTTCATCATTTGGACCTAATTTACAAGTATTAACGATCGCTGCCCTGACGAAGAGGAGCTGTGGGAACGACGGAGGACGAAGAAGCTGACAGAGCCGTGATAAGAAGTCATTAGAGGGGAATGAGACGCTGACCTGCAACGGTCAATTGAAGTCCAGCTGCTGCTTGTTGAGTTGGAGGAAGGTGTTAAAGAGGCCGTTAAACCCTCGTCGACACCTCAGCACCTCTGCAGAGCTGCAGCCTGGGAGAGGAGGGACGGGGGATGTGGTTCCCACACTGCAAACACAGAACTGTTTCACTTTGAAGCTGAATGAACAAAAGAGGAGATTTAAACTCAACAAAATCCTGAAAGTCACGCTGGAAGTTTTGTCTTGTTTTATCTATCTGTACAAAATCTGTACAGTCTTTTTCAATTCGACTTTTAAAGTGGTCACATATTGTGAGGAGTCTGTGACAAATAGATGTGCAGTTATTGGGCAGTCTGGACTCTCTCTCTCCTGCAGTCTGGACTCTCTCTCTCCTGCAGTCTGGACTCTCTCTCCTGCAGTCTGGACTCTCTCTCCTGCAGTCTGGACTCTCTCTCTCCTGGACTCTCTCTCCTGCAGTCTGGACTCTCTCTCTCTCCTGCAGTCTGGACTCTCTCTCCTGCAGTCTGGACTCTCTCTCTCCTGCAGTCTGGACTCTCTCTCTCCTGGACTCTCTCTCCTGCAGTCTGGACTCTCTCTCTCTCCTGCAGTCTGGACTCTCTCTCCTGCAGTCTGCAGTCTGGACTCTCTCTCTCCTGCAGTCTGGACTCTCTCTCTCCTGGACTCTCTCTCCTGCAGTCTGGACTCTCTCTCTCCTGCAGTCTGGACTCTGGACTCTCTCTCTCCTGCAGTCTGGACTCTCTCTCTCCTGCAGTCTGGACTCTGGACTCTCTCTCTCCTGCAGTCTGGACTCTCTCTCTCCTGCAGTCTGGACTCTGGACTCTCTCTCTCCTGCAGTCTGGACTCTCTCTCTCCTGCAGTCTGGACTCTGGACTCTCTCTCTCCTGCAGTCTGGACTCTCTCTCTCTCTCCTGTCTGGACTCTCTCTCCTGCAGCCTGGACTCGGAGGGGTCTCCAAGTAACCAGCAAGCAAAACCATAACTGACCACCAGAGGGGGCCAAAGCTCTGAAACACAAACACAACACCAGTAGAAAGCAAATCCCACACGGCCGGGGGGGGGGTCACAGTTTTTAACCCACTTTATCACAACCTGTCCTCCAGCCTGATGTCATAATGAATCAGGTTTATTAATCGATGTCGGAGCGATTGATCCTGTATGCTGCGTTGGTGAACCCTGATTGATCCTGATGTGACGGCGACATGTTTCACTGAAACCCTGATACGATGGATTACCAGAAACTGAAGACTGATTTTAATCTTTTCTTTTCTTCTCTTCCTGACAGATTCCAGACGAGTTCGACAGAGGTGAGTCTGACAAATATATATATTTTACAATTATCATTACGCTTTTTGTTTTACACAACTTTAAACCACGGCCCATTAAATCAGTCAGATCAGACACTTAGAGGAACAGCATGAGCCTGTCAGGGACAAAAATGACAACTTTGAGTGGATGGTTTAGTTTTCCGTAAAAAGTCGAAAGGATTATGTTGCAGTCTGTTTCACATCGCTTTTTGAAGCCATCCAGCCCCAAAGAATGAACCAATAAGACTCTAAAATATGTAAAAATCAAGAACCAAAAACTGTAATTGCCTTTTTTTTTGGTCACAAGTCAGATTTCTTCCTGGGACGATTTGCAATCTGCTTCAGAACAATTAAAAACCAGCAGCAGATTGCAGACTGAAAGAGGCCTTATATACTCTTATTCAATAAACTGCGTGCGTGCGTGCGTGCGTGCGTGCGTGCGTGCGTGCGGGCGGTCTTCACCCCGCCCCGCTCCAGATGAGTCTTCTCCTGAACATGTGTGTTTTTATTGACTCCCTGGCAGCGTGTGTGTGACTTGGTGTCAGCGTTTGTTTGAATGATGGATCACTCCGCTGAGCCTCGGTGGCACTGCCAACTGCTCTCACTGTGTGCATACCAACCACCCATATGCCCCGTCCCATCACTCATACACCCCCCCCCCCCAACTCACCATCTGACCTCCAAAAAACACACAACAAACACGTTTACCTCCAGCTCATTCATCCAGAGAAAAGGACTGCAGCAGACCCGTCAAAATGTCTGTAAAACACAGAATCATCTCAGAGTCTGACAAAGTTCGTGACTTCATCAAATCATATCTCTAACTTTGTGTTTATTGGGCAATCCAAACATAGTTCATTACTTACATCATTATTCTTTTTTTTAATTCTTTTTTTAAATGTTATACAAAACAATAACAGAATGCAGAAGAAGTACACAAAATGGTTTTTAATAATATCTTAGTTTGCCCAATTTTATTGTAATAGAGAAAAATAAATGAACAAAAAACAAGCAACCCACATAAAAAAACACACACACACACACACACACCCAAAACAGAAAAGTAACTTTCTCTCTGCTGCACTGGAGAGGTTTGTCTGAGGTGAACGACTGACTCACTGGGTTTAAGATTCTTTACTCCTCGCCATCGGCCACAGTGATGACTCGTGCAGCGTCACAAAGCCTCAATTTAACAATTTTAACAATTTAGTCTGCAAAATCAGGAAGCTAAACACTGGAGCTTCTCAAAAGAACACTTTATTTGTTAGTACTTTTATTTAAAGTGACGTTGTGAAGCCGGGACATGTGACCCCCCCTCCTCCCCCTCTCACAATCAGTCGTCAATACCAGAAGATGTTTCATCTCTCTCTCTCTCTCTCTCTCTCTCTCTCTCTCTCTCTCTCTCTCTCTAAACGAGTTCTGATCGCCCCTGCTGCTACCGATGATCACTTGATCAATAATTAGATCTCCTGCCTCCTCCTCCTGAGTCCGTCCCTCCATCCTCTCTGTCCGTCATAAAACACTCCCCGAGGTCCACTTTGTACAAAAAGTCTTCATCTCTTCATGTCTCCCTCTGTGTCTCTAACTTTATCACCTCTCTCTCTCTCTCTCTCTCTCTTTATCCCTCCATCTGTCTCCATCTCTGTCTCAGTTCTGGATCCCCGAGGTCCACGTCTCATAAATCTAATGTGCTGCTTGTTGGTTTGAACTGAAAACAGTAAAGAAAAGTGAATGAAGTTTGTTTTAGAGGAACACATCGGTCTGAGTCCACCCGTCATGGACTGAAGGCTGCAGAGACAGCAGGATGTTTGTATGGATCAGGGGATGGATGAACAGAAGGAGGGGTGTGGGGTGCATACCTTCCTGGGCCGGCGGGACACTAAGGTATTGACTAATCACTTATTTGTATCAGCAAAGCGATCAGAATTCATTTAAGAGGGCGGTCCTGTCTCGCCAGATCGACCTGATGTAACCATCACAGCTGTCACTCACACTAAGGCACCAGTGTTCTCTTAAAGCACATCATTTCATTTAGTTATGTTACATCATGTTTACAAGATGAAATCTGGTTCAACATTTGGACCTAAATTTAGACCTTTTGCAGGCAAACTACATTTCAGGTCCCTGAAAACTCTCCTTTTGTAAAACTCCTTCCAGGGTGAACAAACTCTGTGTCGACGCTGAAAACAGAGCTTTGTGCTCGTACATTTCCCCTCTTCCTCGTCCCCACTTCCTCGTCTCCTCTTCCCCTCTTCCTCGTCCCTCTTCCTCGTCTCCTCTTCCCTCTTCCTCGTCCCCTCTTCCTCGTCTCCTCTTCCTCGTCCCTCTTCCCCGTCCCCTCTTCCCCGTCCCCTCTTCCTCGTCTCCTCTTCCCCGTCCCCTCTTCCTCGTCTCCTCTTCCTCGTCTCCTCTTCCCCTCTTCCTCGTCCCCTCTTCCTCGTCTCCTCTTCCTCGTCTCCTCTTCCCCTCTTCCTCGTCCCCTCTTCCTCGTCTCTCTTCCCTCTTCCTCGTCCCTCTCCCTCGTCCCCTCTTCCCCGTCCCCTCTTCCCCGTCCCCTCTTCCCCGTCCCCTCTTCCTCGTCCCTCTTCCTCGTCCCTCTTCCCGTCCCCTCTTCCCCGTCCCTCTTCCTCGTCCCCTCTCCCTCGTCCCCTCTTCCCTCGTCCCTCTTCCCCGTCCCCTCTTCTCGTCCCCTCTCCCTCGTCCCCTCTTCCCTCGTCCCCTCTTCCCCGTCCCCTCTTCCTCGTCCCCTCTCCCTCGTCCCCTCTTCCCTCGTCCCCTCTTCCTCGTCCCCTCTTCCTCGTCCCCTCTTCCCCGTCCCCTCTTCCCCGTCCCCTCTTCCTCGTCTCCTCTTCCTCGTCTCCTCTTCCCCGTCCCCTCTTCCTCGTCCCCTCTTCCTCGTCCCCTCCTCTGCAGAGGAATGGCGAGATAATTGTCAAGGCCATCGGATGTTACAGTGTTTTGTGTTTTCATGTGGGTGGAGATGTTTTTGAGAACGGAGTGTGTGTGGACGGGATTAAAAGGAAAACCTCTGATTTGAAGAATTCCCGTCGACTAGGTAACCTTTGACCTTTTTGGAGGTTTTGCTTGAAAGTCATTTCTGATTTTGCGTATTCACTCTCCTCGTTGCAGTAGGACTCATTGCTAAAATGTTACATTCATCCTTTAGATTAAACCGGGTTAGTTTGGGTGACATGGTCATTACATCATCATGTGGTTATGACATCATCACTTATTGATTTTGGACGGGGGATAAATGATGTGGAATTACTGCACACTGATTTGTCCACGCTTCAGATCCCTGCACATTTCCCATTAGCCCCTTCAGAGTGATGAAGGCCAATCATGACCCCAAAGACCTCTGGGGGACCTCTTAGGGACCTCAGGGGACCGGGGGCCAAATATACCCTGATGAGCTTAGGGACGGGGGTAAAAGTTCATGATCCCTCAGGGACCTCCTTCATCGCCTTTTATCCTCTCCTCTCTTCATCCTCTCGTCTGTCCACCATCACCTTTTTATCCAACACTCGTCTTCATCTCCTCCATCCTGTCGGCTTCCAGTATCCTCCTCCTCCTCTTCCTCCTCTCTTCCTCCTCCTCCTCTTCCTCTTCCTCCTCCTCCTCTTCCTCCTCCTCCTCCTCTTCTTCCTCCTCTCCTCCTCCTCCTCCTCCTCCTCCTCCTCCTTCTACCTCCTCCTTCTCTTCCTCCTCTTCTTCCTCCTCCTCCTCCTCCTCTTCCTCCTCCTCCTCCTCCTCCTCCTCCTCCTCCTCCTCTTCTTCCTCCTCCTCCTCTTCCTCCTCTACCTCCTCCTTCTCTTCCTCCTCTTCTTCCTCCTCCTCTTCTTCCTCCTTCTCCTCCTCCTCCTCTTCTTCCTCCTCCTCCTCTTCTTCCTCCTCTTCCTCCTCTTCTTCCTCCTCCTCTTCTTCCTCCTCCTCCTCCTCCTCCTCTTCCTCCTCCTCCTCCTCTTCTTCCTCCTCTTCCTCCTCCTCTTCTTCTCCTCTTCCTCCTCCTCCTCTTCCTCCTCCTCCTCCTCCTCCTCCTCCCCTGGGAGCAGCAGACGGCGAGCAGAGCTCTGGATGATGGAGGGATTTATGGATGGCTCTTATGGGACGTGTTTGGCTACAGACTCCGTTAGCGTGCCAATAAGCAGCATTTGACCGCGTGATGCAGAGGAGCGTCGGTTACCATGGCAACCAGGAAATGGGACGCCTCCTCCTACGAGTACGAGCAGCTCCTCCTGCAAATATCAGGAGTTTTCTGAAAGTGTGAAAGCTTAAGAATCAGCTTCTTTGGCCGGTTATGCTTTCAAGGAATTTGATTTTTGTTCCCTTTTTAAAAAAAAAAAATCAAAAATAGATTTAAGAAAGACATCAGTCCCAAAAAACCCTGTATCAGCCGGGCTCTAATTCTGATAACATCTTGATATCTAATGTAATATCAGCTTTAATAAGGTCGAGTAAGGTTGCTACAGAAACGAGCCCAAAGGAACAAAAACAGTTCAAATATAAAGACGTGTTCATGTTTGTTTTTCTGTCCTGTCAAAAAAAAGAGATGATTGAAATATTGAAATGATTGATTGACTGTGATGTCAAACAGACCACCAACCTGGAACATGAGTGAAGGTGTGTTCATGCTGCTCGAACATAAACACACACTCTCTCCCTCCCCAGAGGATAGTCACACACACACACACACACACACACACACACACACACACACGACAGAGGCCGGGCCACGCTGCCGTTTGTCACCCGGAGAGAAAACAAACGATTGACGGAGGCGGAGGGGGGAGGAGGGGGAGGGGGGGGGGGGAGGAGGGGGTGTTGTTGTGAAGCAGATGCTGAGCCTGACCACAGCTTTTGTTTGGGACGGAGGCCCCTCCATCCTTCTCTCCATCTTTACCGCATTCTTTATCCCTCGTTCCTCCGATTTCATCACTTCCTGTTTTTACTCACTTTACCTCCTCTCTACTCTCATCTCTTCTTCCATCCTGTCTTTGTTTACCCCCCTCCTCGTCTTCTCTTTTTACTCTCCTTTACCTGTGATCCCCATTTCTCCTCCCCTTTTCCTTCACCTCCTTCCCTCCTCCCCTCTTCCTTCACCTCCTTCCCTCTTTCTTCACCTTCCCTCTTCTTTCTCCTCCTCCCTTCTCCTCCTCCTCTCTCCAAAAGTTCATAACAGTCCTTTTCCGTTTTTCCTTCCTCAACATCCTCTCCTCCTTTTTATCTTCTCCCTCATTATTTAAGTCAACCCCTCCCTCCTTTATTCGTTCTTCCTGGCTTTTGGCATCTTGTTTTCCTCCCCTTCCCCTCCTTCCTCCTCTTCCTCCCGCTGTTTACATCCACTTTTTGAATCCCTCTGTTTCACAGGTCATTACTGCGCTAAAAGGGGAAA